CAAACTCTTGTAGAGGACATAAAGTCAGAGATAGAAAAGACAAGGAGCAGGTGCATCTAGTGCAGGTAGAGCTGCTGCAAAAACCCACAGAGCCCAGCAGCCAGCAACAAATTCTGGATCCTTTGCTTTTAGTTAGCAGTTAGCATTAGCAGCACATCCTGCGTCCGATGTGAAAGGACCTTTATGCTGCGCACTGTGACTCACAGCAATGGTCCTGGGTCAGCCCTGACTTTGTGTTAAACTAATCCTAAAGTAATAATGGTATTTCTAACCACTAACATACCACAACTTTATCCTTTCAACAGCTACTGAAAGTTAGGGGACCTAGCTGCTATCGGATATTTCTATAGCGATCCTCCAGCTTCAAACTGTATCACCCTTCAAGGACCTGCAGTTCAAAAAAGCGCCCCTCCGACAGCCAAACCCATCTGTTCTCTGATTGGAGTCCACACACAAATCTTTTTTACACATACAAATCTTTTTTACAAGTACAAAATATTTATGACCACATTTTGAGCCCATAGGCCGGTTCTTCTGTAACAGGAGAGAGAAGAGTTAGTCTTGGCACTGCTTTTATAGAGAGGTGTGTGATCGGAGATGGGGGGTTTGGCTTACTTGGTCTACAGGTGAGTGAAGCAGCTGAGCGGAGGGAATGCTCTGTAGGAGTTGGTGAGCAGACAGTCGGTGGAAGGAGTGGAGGGCAGGCAGGGGAGTTCTGTTCTCTTCTTAGAAAGAGTTGTTTGAAAATTCCAAGTGATTGAACAGGAGTGCATGGAAGTGGAGCTAGTGGCAAAGAAGGTCCAGGCAGGTACGCTACCAGTCAAAAGTTTGGACACACCTTTTCATTGGGTTTTCTTGACTTCTGGCACTCCATCATTACACGTCCTGGAGGTGTGTTTGGAGTCATTGTCCTGTTGAAAAACAAATGAATGCAAAGTGGATGGCATGTCGCTGCAGGATGCTGTGGTAGCCATGGTTCAGTGTGCCTTCAGTTTTGAATAAATCCCCAACAGTGTCACCAGCAAAGCAGCCCCACACCATCACACCTCCTCCTCTATGCTTCACGGTGGGAATCATGTATGTAGAGACCATCTGTTCACTTTTTGTCTTTTTCAGACAAATCTCTTCTGCTTGTTGCTTTTCCTTAGTCGTAGTTTCTTTGCAGCTATTTGAGCTTTTCAGCTCCTCTAAACAGCTGATGTAGAGAAGTGTCTGCTACTGGAACTCTTTGTGGGCTCTGCCCTGAGGTGTGATTTCTGAGGCTAATTACTTGGATTAATTTATCCTCAGCAGCAGAGGTCTTCAAATCTTCATTTGCTGGGGCGGTCCTCATGGGAGCGAGTTTTGTCGCTTGATGGTTTTTGTGACTGCACTTGGGGAGACATACAAAGTTTTAGCAATTTTCTGGACGGACTGACCATCAGTTTTTAAAGTAATAATGGTCAGAGGATTGACGTGGGGTTGTTTCATGTTGTCAGTGAGGAGCAGAGACACTGAAGGCAGCAGTGAGCCACCAGGGGAGTGTCTGTGTCCCAGGCTGAATGAACAGTGTATTTGTGTGTGGCAAATAAAAGGGCCGCTGCCCAAATCGACCATTACGGAGCGACTGGTCCTCAAATCAAGTCTTCAAATTTCAACAATTTCGATTTTATAAACAGATTTGTATGTTCTCTATATTTAACATTATGAACCCTTCGCACCACTTTCTTCTAAGTATAAAAGTTTTATATAAGTCGCAGCACAACAACTGGAAAATTAGTGAGAAATCTAAAATACGCATTGCCTTATAATCCAGTATATCTCTGACATTACCCGAAATATAAATATTTTTAACCATCTTTTTTCTAACATGTTCAATATGAGATTTCCATGTTAATTTATCCTCCAATACTACGCCCAAAAAAAACGGAGTTCAGTAACTCTCACATCCACTCACATCCTGGGTTATCTGATCTCAGGAATTCGCATGATAAGGTGGGGCCAGGTTTCACAATGAGCTCACCCGAAACTCTGCCTGATTGGGACCCACACCCAGTTTCACACCTTGGCTCAGGCGATTAGAGGATCATCAGGGGTCCTTTTGTCCCTCTGTGGGGGGTCACTCCCACTAGGTTTATATCTGGGACTCTCCACCATTTGACCTTAGAACTGAAGAAGCTTCTCGGATGAGAGGTGAAACGTCTTCAAGCAACTTAAAGAAGTCCAGACGCTTTTCTTTGCAAGCTCCTTTGACTACGATGACCTGGATGACTGAGAACCTTCACAGACATACTTAACCAGTTCAAAGTGATTCCTCTCACCCCATAATTCAGCTTAGAAATCAAAATAAAATGTTGCAGCGTATCAAAAGCTGTTTTTTGATTCAACAAATACCCCTGTTGTATATTTATTTTTGTCTGTTGCAAATGAAATGTTGTCAGTAGTAGTCATCAATGTTAATGCCATTGATCTGTTTTTCCGAAAGATCACTGATATGGCATTAGTCATACTCCCAGCATTATACAATCTAAATTTCACATTATTTCCATCAGTTGATGCATCTTGCATTTTATTGTCAATGTTATCATCAACAAAGTGTAGTGGTTAGAGGTTGCTGGTTTGATTCCATTGTTGATGTTTTGTATATTATGTTGTGAACATAAGAACGATCTTAAAATTACTTCCAGCAAGTTTTACGTACGGTTGTCCTGGGACAACATGTTTGGTACTGAAAGCTTCTGGATTGCTTTTCAACTCCATGTTAAGCAGCAGAACCACCGGTTATTGAACCAGAACAATTTTTGAAGTAGATTCATTCTCACACCAGTTTGGCGTATAAAGTACGGAGTGTCAGACCTGTCTAATGCCATAACCCAGAAAATCGGGCCGCTGAAGCCAAATGACAAGTTGTGTGTTAGATCAACTGTGTAAACACATCTGGTCTGTTCTGTGTTCACCAGCAATCCATGTGTGTCTATGAGCTGTGGGTTAATCTTGGAGGCTGTAGCCAATCAGGCTGGTACAGGCTCAGAGTACAGAGCCAATATTTCATCTGCAAAACTAAGTAAATGTGGGTTCAGAAAGGAAACGATATGAAACTTTGCAATACTGGATTTCTCCTAAATCCAATACCTACCTACCTCACAAGAGCTAATTAAGATATAAAAACAACCACAAAAACACGGAGACCTTGTATAATTTCTGGTTACTGGCATTTTGACTATAAACTTTACAGGAACCAACAACTCAGGCTGTGAGCAAATATTGATATTAAAAAAAATTCAGAGTCATGTTCAGATTAGAAGCTTAAAACGTGTCATTTCTAGACAGCTGGTGATTCAGAGGTTTAGCATTACTGGTGTCACAATCTAGCTCTGAGGAAAGTCACATTCACCAGCTGTAAATCTGTCACGCATAATAACTGCAATATTGGGATCAGTGTGCAGCTCTGTGTCATGTGTCTTATGACCTTGTTAAAATTGTCAGTTTGAGGAAGCATGAAAAGGTGTTTGAAAATTTTTTTTATTGCTTGATATTGAGATTCCTGTTAATTCTGCAAAGTACTGACATTGAGTCAACAAAATGGCAACAAGTAAACCAAACTGTCAGCAGGGCAGGTGCTGACATGTGTTTCTGCTCTCCCATGAACAATGGTGTGCTGGCTTTGAAGCGTAGTTATGTGGTCAGTATTTTAACTTGTTTTAGGGATTTCATTTTGTCTCACATAATCTTCGATCTTGGTAAAATTAAATCATGCAGAACCAACACAATCTAGCTTTAGTTTCAAATTACTGAAACATAAATTTAGAGAAAACAACTCAATGGGTTCTAAATGTTTAGACGTTTTTAAAGTGTACTTCTCTGCTAAAGAGGGTTTTTACTGCACCTTGGATATTCAACAATGAGTTTCATAGTTTTCCATGTTGCTTACACCAAAGCGGCCACAGAAATAGTCCAAGGACATTCTTGCTGTTTGATATGAGAAAGGTTTATGGACATGTGTAATATTTAATATACGTTCTGGCTGGTAAAATTTCACAACATTAATATATACAGAGGCAGAGATACAGCGTGGTGGGATTTTTTTTTTTTTTTTTTTTTTTAGCTATGTGAAACTTCAGCAAGCCCCAACAAAAAGGCGGATCCATCCAGTTCACAGATGCCTCAACCGGAAAAACAGGAAAAGGGATGAAATGTAAACTAAATAAAGTACAGGGTCAAAGGTTGCACAAACTGAAATGTTAGTCCTGAATAAAAATAATGAGAAGCAAGGCAGTGTGCAGAGGTTACGTTTATATTATATTTCAGATCCTAGAAATAACTACGTCTCATGTTTCCCTGTGTGGCAAACAGGATGAGGACCCAAACGCAGGACTCGGAACACGGAAAAGTAGACTGAAAACGGCGGCTTTATTTGCTGGAAAAATTCTACACCGGATACAAGAAAATGAAACCGGAAAGTAGAAACAGTGCTGTCAGCGTTGATCTCGTTATAATGGATGGCGTCAACGCGTTAATGAGCTAACCACACGAACGCATTGACACCGTCCAGCCCCACGCATGGGGTGATCCACGGTTAATGGAGATTTGCTGTGTTTGCTGTCATTTTAACGAGATTAACGCTGACAGCACTACTAGAAACATGAAAACTAGTGAACTAAACTGGGATTGAGAACTAGGAAAATACTACGAGTATGGAGGAAACACACACAGCACTGAGGAGGTTTGATGGTTAACAACGTGACGCCAAACAGGGCAAGACTGAGGACTAAAATACACAGGCAGGAAACAGGTGCAAACACAGCTGGGACTAATGTCCACATAGCACAGAAGACTATGAAAGTAAAACGGGAAACAAAGACGTCGTTCTTCTTTACTGTTAGTCTGTAAATCACTTGAAAAAGTCACACTGCAATTGCACAACTTGTGTGGTGAAATGTTTTCAATTACTGTGGAAAATATTAGAAAAAAATGAATGCATGATGGTATCGGCTGCTGAATCACAGCCTTTGTTTCTGCAGAGCGCCGAGGATGAATCGAAGTGGGTCGAAGACATGCTGAAGCTCCACACAGCCCGAGTACGAGATGTGGAGATCCTTACGGGCCTGGACCTCTACAGATCCACAAACCTCACATACACCAACACCCTAATTCTCAAAACCTACCTGGAGACCTTTGAGAGGGATGAGTAGGAGCCAGAGACAGAGATGATCATATAGGATGTAACCCTTTGTAAAATGTCTGCATTTTTATTGCATGCTCTTTGGAAAGACAACATAATGCTGTTCCACTGCTGAAGAACCGCCCAAGAAGTGCTTGGAAAGGGAACACATATTTGAAAATTACAAGAATGTTTGTTATGACAGGAATATTACAGTACTCATTCTAAAGCACACATCAAGAACCACACCAGTGTTTTATGTCTGTGCCTAAAAGAGATTTCTCCTTCACATTTCTACTGCCATATGCACTGCATGCTATGAGATTTAATATGTAAAGTTACATGTGTTTAGTCATTTAGAAAAATCCATTCTTGGTGGTCTTCGATCATGGAAGATAATCATTGTGAACTGACACAGTGAGAAGTTTTCATTGCAAACTGTAAGAAAATAGATTTAAAAAAAAAGATCAAAGTGGTTAAAAAATGACGTGAAAAATGAGAACATATCAACCAGGCTTTAATTTCTTCAATCTTGTAGTTTGACCTGTTCACAGCAGCCAGTAAAACAGGTGGAATCACAAACTTTTAAAATCAACATACTCCCAAATTAGTCACTGAGTCTGTAAACTCATCAAAAGGTTGATCAAGATTAAGACACTTCTATAGGTCCAGAACTCTTGGCCTTCAGCTGAAGGCACGTCTGCACTGGCTTAACTTTACTTCCTGTTTCATACTGCCTGTGCCACTAACTATAAGACTATGATTATGGGCAGAGTTTTCCCAAATGGAAAAAAAGTGAACACATATTTTTTCTTATCTTTTAATTTCTGAAAATGTAGCACTTCTTTTTTACAAAACCCAACTTTCTCCCTTTGTCCCTAAACCACTTGATGGTGATCCAGCAGATGCTAAGAGTTTAACACCAGCAAATGTGCAAATTTGCTGGTGTTTAGTTTCTTGATTGCATGATGATTTAACCAACAGTTGTGTGACAGGTAATCCAACAGGCCTAACCGACCATAGTCCTGCACCTACAGTGAAAAACTGTCGTTGTGATTTCATAAGCACCTGCTTGTTATCTCTTTTGCTAACTCTGTCAAAAGGTGTGAATTTTTCTACAATTTATCATATTTATAATAACTTTGCCACTCGTCCATCCTGCTAGCCATCGCTTCTCCGATTCTGTTCAGTGTCCTGGGCAGCTGAAGCTGAAACCAAGCAATCATTGGGTGAAAGGTGGTGTACACCCTATATAGGTTTCCAATCCTCCACAGCTCTTACATCTGAGACATGCATTCACATTCACACCTTTGGGAGGAAACTGGAGTACCTGCAGGGAGCTCATGCCAGCACAAGGACAGCATGCCAATTCCAGTCTTTTCTTGCTTTTCCTGTTCTAACAATGTACTCACAATCACAACAAAGGAGTGTGGTTTGGAACATGTCCAGTTTAATTAAAAGTTTAAAGAACTTAATGTCACCACCTCTTTTAGAAAATTTAAAGAGAAATGAATGCATTCATCTCAGTCCAAATGATTACTATTTTGCAAACTGAATGCAGACATTAGGTGTGCAAAGAGGCTGCTGTAAAACCACGTGTCTCTGCAATACAGTGTAATATAGCCGAGATACTGAAAACACAAATTAAAATGAATATCGTTTGACCTTCACTTTGATTTTGAGCCAACTGAGTTACAACATGATAGCTTAAAATGAGACCTAACCTCGAAACCATGGAAGTGTCCTTTAGTTCTGTTTAAACGGTGGAGAGGCGACACTGATGTCATCTGTCTGACGTTATCTCTTTATCCAAATTCAACTTTGCTTCCACGCCTTTATTCCTACACCGATAAGCCAGAACCTGCATTTTTTTCACGTTTGACATTTTGTAACATTAGCCCAGTGTTACCATACCTAACTACTCGTGACTGCGTAGCCATAGTCATGGTAATAAGTAAAAGGATCAATAAAAAGTCAGTTAATAGACCTGTCAAGATGTGTATGAAGCCATGTTTATTCTTGTAGCCTTTCAAATAAAATCTGTAGAGTAGTGGAAACGTTCACTGAGTTGTTTTTTATTGTGTTGTTCTCTGCAACCACTGGACTGGCAGATGATGATAATAATAATAACAATGGATTGGATTTATATAGCGCTTTTCAAGGCACCCAAAGCGCATGACAATGCCACTATTCATTCACTCTCACATTCACACACTGGTGGAGGCAGCTACGGTTGTAGCCACAGCTGCCCTGGGGCAGACTGACAGAAGCGAGGCTGCCATATTGCACCATCGGCCCCTCTGGCCAACACCAGTTCAGGTTTTCATGATGACTCCTGGAAACCTGAGAAGTTTTGTTCTTAAGAAAGCATCAAGGTTTCTGTGATGGCTCAACTTCAACTTTATTTTGCAAACAGATTTCCTTGTAATTTATTGCTCATGCTTCATGTTAGCCAATCAGTGTGCCCTCATGGATTATGTTTTACATGCACCTTTGTCCCCTAAATGATTAGAGCTGGGTCACATTACCTATGAAGAGCCCAGGCGTTCTTTCACCTGGGTGACTCAGCTGGAGGTGATCGGGCCCCAGCTTGTGTCCAAGCAGTGCACTACACCACGGTTCCCTTTTCTTGATCCACAGCCATCTGGAAGCTTTCCACTCCTGCAACCCTCTGATGCCAACAACTGTAAGTGTGTGGTACGGAGACCGACCCAGGAACCTCCTGTAGCCCATCTCAAGGGTTCATAGCAGATCCTCCACCCATCAGAATTCTACAAGCTGCTGATATTTTGCCACCTTTAGCTCATGGGTGTCCTCAAAATGGTTCTCCGAGGGGGATTGCGAGTTCAAAGGTCAACAAGCCTGTAAAGCCTGTACAGGTCTTCAGCTAGTTCAGAGGTTTAAATCAGTATCTGGTAAATCTGGCGTTTGGCCTGTTGATTCCCTGTAGAGATCGCATCAGCTACTGTGTTCAAGACCTCGGTGGTGCCATATATTTCTCCCCTCTACCAGGGCTTTAGGGGAGCAACTCAAAATATGTGCTCACTCCAAAGCCTCCAAAGCCTGCCACATCTGTTCAGTCTTCACAGCAACACCTGCAGAGGAAACTCCAATGTCTGCTGAGGCTCCAAAAAGTAGCACCTCCCTGGTTCTGATGACCTTGAACTCCTCCGTTGGGCTGGTGAAGGGAATAACTTGTAGCTCCATTAACAGTAGAATCAGTTTGAGGTTCTCAGGGTTGGTGTATAAAGTGTGTACCTCTTACAACAGAGACAAGGGTTTACATCCAGCTTCCCATCTGCGGATACACCACAGGCACTTTGATTAGAGTCAGGAATGAGTCAAGAACTTTGTGTCTCTTGTCACGGTGAGTCTGCAGTAGCTTCAGTCATATTAATATGATTGTGTTTACTTTACATTTCTTACATTTTATTGCATGACTGGATATTTGTTTTTAATATAATAGCCGGTGTGAGTGTTTGGCTCATGGTTGGCACATAATTGGCACACAGCTTCTTTCTCTCTTTGCTTAAGTGGCTCAGTGGTATGCTTTTCTTAGCAGAATGACAGTCTTGTTTTCTGCTAGAAGGAGTTTTTCACAGGTTACATAAGCTGCATAATCATGCAGCTTATGTAACATCATTTAGATCACACTAGGTGTGTTTATGCATCTGCAGTAACCCCAGCCGGCTGGCTCCCTTCTCACATCACTCGTGAACAAGACCCCGAGATACTTAAACTCCTCCACTTGGGGCAGGGTCGCGTCCCTGACCTGGAGTGGGCACTCCGGGTCGCCTTCGGGTCAGGGAACGGGTCCTGACTGTCATCTGTGCTTATGCGCCGAGCGGCAGTTCAGGGTACCTAGCCTTCTTGCAGTCCCTGAGTGGGGCACTGGAGGACGCTCCTCCTGGGGACTCTGTCGTCCTACTGGGAGACTTCACTGCTCACGTGGGCAACGACAGTGAGACGCTACATCCAGATGAACAGAATAAACTTTGGGGGATACACACGATAATGTTTCATCTCCTTAATGCACGTGTAGTGTCTCTTCATTTTTCCCAACTAGCATTCTTGGAAATTACGCATTGTTCTATGTTAGGACACAGGTCAGCTGTTTTCTACTACCATACATTTGTAGGGTGGGCATGGGCAGTGTGAGGACCCAGGAGCGGACACAGACGTGGAGACAGCGCTGAACTTGAAACAAAAAGCGAGCCTTTATTTTGGCTGGATTAAAGGTGGCAAACAAAGCAGAAAGCTATGAATAGCTGACTATGATGAGTCTGTGCTGGAAAATGAAATAACTATAAAACGAATACATGAATGAGCAACATGAACATGACCAGCACGCCTGAAACCAGACACAACATGAACCCAAACACTGGGTTGCATGACCCAGACCATGACAATATTCAAGTGGTAACACGAGTCAGTCCCAGTTAAATATGAAATATGAGCTAATATGCTACTTAAAGCGAAAACGATAGCAAATCTCACAAAAGTGAGTAAGTTGAAGCTGGACTCCCTTAGGGTGGTGTCGGGAGGATGTTATCCAAGATAAGAACAATGCAGGATAACACCTCCTACCCACTCCATGACCTGCTTGCCAGTCACAGGAGAACGTTTAGTGAGAAACTGAGATTTCTCATGATGCACCACGGAACAGGACATGACGGCTGCCCCGTACTCCTCCATCGAAAGCACAGAACACACTGAAATAGTTACAACAGCCTGGCTTCTGCTCAATCAACAGCCTCCACAGGCTGATGACCTGTTACAGTTAGAGTCAAATGTGAGTCATACATATTTAATCTGTAATATTCTTGATATTTATGATTGATATTAGAGCTATTTGTAATATGTTGGAAATCTCACCTTCTTCTATGGGTGGGACCATTTTGATGCTTCAGTCTGTTTATTTCTCGCTACAGATAAGGTTATGTTTCTCTACACTGTAAACCAGAGAGATGACGCACATAAAACCCCCTCTGGACATCAGCCGAGTCCTGTTATCACACTGCATCATAGTTTCATGAGTGATTTATAATCAGGGGCACTTATGTAGAAATGCTTCTCAGTTAGGTTGACTCCTTTTCTGTAATATCCCGGCTCTCCTTGGACAGAGTTATATGTCATTTACAGGTTTTTGTTTTTTTCAAACACCTCTCTAATGGCACGATCTGATATCGTCGCGTTGGTGTTGATCCTGGAACAACAGATCATCCGCTCTAATGCATGTCAGAAGTTGGCACCAACACTTTTGTTTCACACTGAAAATGAAACATAAAAAATCTAAATGAAATTCCTGCCCCGAGAACTATAATGACCTGAGACGTTTGGCACCACAAAAGAAGAATATTGTTAAAGCAAGACTGTATGAAAGAATTTCCTTTTCCTTTGATTAGAGATAATTTCAATGGTAATGCGTCTCATTATATTTGACCTTTCTGCAGAAGCCTCGTGTGTTCTTTTGTCACTAGTTTAACTGGTTTTAGATTTCAACGAAAGAGCTTTGGTTTTATTTTAAAGGCCTTAAAAGGCAAAGGTTATGCACTGTTAGAAATGGGAAGACATCCTATATGACAATGTTCGGATCGGAAATGTTTACTTTGTGAAAATTACTTCACAAAAAATAAAAGTTTCAAGGTTTGCGTGCGCTCAGGTACGTGCTTTGATAAAACTGTCGGCAAAATGTGAGTCAGCATTTCACATCATTACAAACGTCTTTAAAAGTCCATTAACAGCTGTAGTTGTAAAAGTAGTAATTAATTTTAATTCAATAAACCAATAAATTGTTTCAAGCTGTTATCAATCATTGATAACAAGAGAAATCAAAAGGCCTGACACTGAAGGTTTGCATCTCGATTCTGATCTTTACTCCGTGGCTTTATCTTTGTACCTCGCAGGCACTCCAGTAAGTTTTAAAATGTGAGCAAAGGAGCAGCAGCTGTGGCTCCACAAAGGAAAAACGCATGAACACGAGGTTATCTTTTTATTCTGACAATCATTTGCTTGCCCAGTTCTTGTACTTGGTCCAGAGGTCATTGCAAAGATATCTTTCTTTTATCCGCATAAAGTAACGTGCGTCTCTTTGTGTACGTCTGCCGGACGTCTCTCTGTCTCCGTGCAGTAAGAGACATATTCGAGTAGCTATGGATTGGATAAGCGAAGCAAAGAGAAACAAGAAGAAGATCATAGTGAGTACAGATTTTTGTTTTAATTATGTGGTAACTGGAGAATTTAACGAGACACATTGAAGGCCTTTGTGTCATTTTTACTCAAAATGTAAATGAAAGTTTATGATAATGAATTCTTACCAATGGCTGGAATGACACCAGCGAGCAGGCCTCCGATCAGCCTGATTTTAAACGTGTGCTCTGCTCTATGTCAACATTTAAACATTTCCAAAGCTTGCATTAAACAGGCATCTACCTAAAAACCTGTCACAACTTCATACGTGACTAACTGAACAATAACAAGCAGTTGTTCCTATCACACATGTTTGTCGAGAAGATTACAACAATTTCCAGACATTTGCGCGCACGTATCGTCTGGGAAAGCGTTGAATGGGCGATTATGAGATCCAGCTGTTCACCTGATGATAAACACCCCTGTGTAAAGTCAGCGTGAAATAATGAATACAAGTCTGATTGATGGTAATTATTCCAACAATCAGTCCAGAAGCCATAGTCTGTAAAACTGCACGTCTCCTCAATTTAATGTTATAAACTGGTTGCTCTAAGGCACTGACTAAATGCAGCTGATAAGAGCACCTATAAAATAAACTGCTACTTTTCCGTCATAAAGAAGAAACTGCAGTGGCATCTTGTAAGTAGAAGGTAATAAAAAAACACCACAGGGAACTGCAGCTGTATAAGTTTCTGTTGCACTCTCGTTTCTGTCATTAAGCCCTTTGCTGCTTATTTTACAACTCGTTTGGCAACAACAAACTGGAGAACGTGTTTCCACTCACCGATAGAGCCTGACCGTTCTGTGCTTTTGGTTGTGTTTGACTTCATAAGAAAGGATTTGTTGCTAGGTTCGCTTCATGTTTGCATTTGTGTCGCACAGATTGGTGTCTTGGCTGTGTCGATTGTGACTCTAATCCTTGGCCTTGGACTCGGTCTCGGACTGGATTTGCAGAGATGTCAAAACCAAGGTACATTCACAAACAGCCACACACACAAACACGCAAACGTGTCTCTGCAGGCTCAGAAACTTCAAACACTTATATACAACAAATACTTTCTTAATAAATTGCATTATTTTCCCATATGGCTTCATCGTCATGACTCGGGTGAGCGTATGCTGACGATTTAGGTTCATTTAGAACCGTCAGAGTGAGTCAGGCACCAAATCAGCATCTCATGTCAGAGAGAATTAACTTCCTCCACTCATTTTAAAAACGTCATTTAAAAAGGAGAATGTCCTCCTACAAATGTTTTCCTGGGATTTCTATTCCTCACAATTCATTAAGTTGTTATTTTTTCCTGTTTAAAGTTCATTTTTACCACTGAAGACCTGGCGGTGACTTATTTTGTGTCTTTTCCACAAATCTCAATTACTTAAAGGTCAAGTGAACATTTATTAAAGGGTGGAGCAACTTTGACATTTATGAAGCGCCTTGAGGCGACTTTTGTTGTGATTTGGCGCTATATAAATAAAATTGAATTGAATAGTACCTGATTGTACTTCTAACGGTCGAATAAGCTTTAGAAACGAAGATGAAAGATCAACTGAAGTGTTCACCTGTCAACAAACATTCTGGTCTGAATGTTGAAATGCTGAAAGCTTTACAGACAGAAATGCTGAAGCCTAAAGACTAATGTCAGTCATGTTACACTCGGTTCTGTGCCTTTGTCAGAGAAGGTGCTCTCCATTAAAAGCACCAGGCTGTTTCCTCAGGGTCAGAGTTTTAGTCTGTACATTGTAACACTTCTTTTCCGAATGACTTGGCTGCCGGGAAATGTTATCGGTGGTGAATCCAGCCAATATTCTTTTTCACCCGCGCAAAAAGATTTTTGGTTACATAACAGAATAAGCAGGGGAGCAGGGGCACTGCTGTTTTTAAGCCTGTAGAAACCAGAAACCTAGAAATGTCTCTAGGAGCTCAAACCATCTAGCAGCCGACCAGAAACAGCATCATAGATCCGGGCCTGGAAACACATACACAGCCTTTTATAAGCACTGGAGGATGCATTAGTGTTCCAAAAGTGATCATAATTCACAATAAACAATGCAAGAGTATCAAATGAACCACACAGGTTGATAGGACTGTGGTTGTTTTGTATTAAATGTGCATTGTTGCATACCAGCATGGCTAAAATCCAAGAACACAGCCAAAATACTCAAATAGTTTCACTGGACGCTTCCCCTACCCTGCAGAGAGCAGCACTATTTCCATTTGTCATGTGCGGGAAGTTTTTGTCTTGATGTCTAATAGAAATCACATTTAGTGTCACAAGTAAACTGTACAGCTGACAATGTGACACATGAGTATATCTCATCTCATATCTCACCTGATGTCAATTTCCAAATCCCACAGAAATGCAGAAAAAAGCAAAAGCTTCGCAAAAAAACAAAGGTCTAAAGAAAAACAGTAGGCCAAATCCATGACCAATCTGGTGCATGTGACTGTTTCACTGTTTTTCAAGCTTTAATACTCATCAGCATGTGAATAAACTGACTCAAATGATCAGGAAATCAAGTTTCTCATGTGAAAATCAGCAAGACTTGCAAGAAACAAGTAGAGACAAGAACAGATGGAAAGCTTAACTTACTGAAAGGACAATCTGGAAGCTGAAGGGAAAATGGTCCAATTATGCAAAAATAAGTCCCTCTATTAAAATATGTGAGTCACATTGAGATCTCACGTCCATTGGATGACAGGGTGGGGATTATGAATGCTAACATCTCAGTGTATTGAGGTTATAATAATCACCTGATGTAAGGCGACAAATTTCAAGAAAGAAGCTGTTGTATTTGCAAACATTACTTATCGTAATCCTGGAGGACGTGAAGAAGTGTTGCCTGTGTATTCCCAGATTTAAAGGCCAGAACTGCGTGCAAAGAAAGAGCTGTCTAGCAGCTTATAGGCGTCACTGTGCTGTGAAAACCTAGCATCGACTTGTCTGAAATTTCACATGAAATGTGAAGAGAAGAGACCACGTTTCATTTGCTTTGGTGGAATTTGTCTGGCTCCTGTCTCATCCATTTTCACTGTGGTTATGCAGCCTCAGCTGCTAATTTAAGGTGGGACTCAGTTATTTCATGACTGCATAGATGAGCACTGCTGAGGCACTTCACAGTGCTTATTAGATCCAGAGTGTCATTGCTGTCAGGACAGATTACAGATTACTTACATGTAGACAGATGTTCTTCCCGTACTGTGTTGGAAAATCTTCAGTACATTGAGCTCATTATATGTCTGAGTACAAGAAAGCCATGATGGGAAATCCTTCCCTTGGTTGTTTTTGTAATGATGAGTTAACAGTTTAAGATCTGAAAATGTTCCGTTTGTTTTGAATGAAGAAGAAGAAAATAACGTCTTCTCCTTTATAAAGTTCAGGTTATCAGTTTTTTTGTTTTTGCAGCTCTCTTGTTTCCTTAAATGTCTCTTTTCATCTTCATTAATCGACTAACTCTCCGCTCCTGTTTTGTCTCTGTTGCAGTCACGCCCCTCACATCCTGCAGGAATAGATGTTATGAGCCTTTTGACAACGAGAAACCTGGCTGCAGATGTGATGAAAACTGCGTCGCCGCCAACAGCTGCTGCTTTGACCACTATGACATCTGCACTGCTCCTAGTGAGACTTTGTTTGTGACTTGGCTGTAGCTCAGGTGGCAGAGCAGGTCAGCCACTAATCAGAAGGTCGGTGGTTCGATCCCAGGCTGCCTCCTGGCTGCCAAATATCCTTGGGCAAGATACTAACCCCATGTTTGCCTACTGGTGGTGGTCAGAGGGCCCGATGACGCCAGTGTCCGGCAGCCTCGCCTCTGTCAGTGCGCCCCAGGGCAGCTGTGGCTACAATGTAGCTTGCCATCGCCAGTGTGTGAATGTGTGGATGACTGAATGTAGTGTGAAGCGCTTTGGGGTCCTTAGGGACTAGTAAAGCGCTATGCAAATGCAGGCCATTTACCATTTTTACCATTTACTTACACGTCCTTCACTGCTCACCAGCTGAACTGAGTGTACTTCTGTACTTAACTCCATGACCGTTTCCTTCAGCTGAGCAGTGGGAATGCACAAACGTGCGCTGTGGCGAGAAGAGGCTGACGCAGAGCAGGTGCCACTGTTCAGATGACTGTCTTTCTGCTGGAGACTGCTGCACCAACTACAAACACGTCTGCCACGGTGAGGCTGCAGGGACATCGCACAGGGTGCAGACACAAAAGAAATCTGTAAAAGCCAGTAACGTTTCAGGAGACCTGTTTAGCCATGAGAAACACTTGTAGATCTTACTGTGAATAAACAGAGAAGCTTGATGAGAGAAGGCGATTTCTAAAACTGGTTTATTGTTAGAATTTCCTCTTAGGGTATGAGTGGCTCCCTCAGTGTAAACCCCTCTGTATACGTGGTTCATCTTAAGGACCTCTTAACTGGAGTGGTGTAAGAGTTTGAAAGCAGGGGTATATACAGCACATTAAAGCTGACCCAGTTCTGTAGCTTTTCTTGTAAACAATTGCTTTCTAGTTTAAACCCTAACCCACAGATATTTATCTAAGGAAAACATTTAGCAGCATTTAGAGGGAATTTTCTCTCATTACATCTCTAGAACCCTACGTGCACTTATTCTGCCAGCTTATACATACAGCTTGCAGCAAAAAAGGCAAAAACAACAGACGTTAGGAAGTGTATTCAAAAGTCCCGTACCATCAGATGTCACTGGAGACATAAACATTATGGTCTCGCTGCAGGAGAGAAACAGTGGGTTGAAGATACGTGCGATGACCTGTCAACCCCCACGTGTCCCGCAGGGTAAGAATTTATACCAAATATATTATAATCCCTTTGGAAATGCAATAAACTGAAGATTGATTGAAAACTGATTGAAATGATCTTTGATGAGCAACTCCATGCATGCTTTCCAAACAGCTGTATTTGTAACATAGCCTTTCAACGATTATAATTATTCTTATTATTTTAAATGAGGCCTTGCTATTTCTTATAATCGCAGATTGCATTTAGAAAAGTAAAAGTAACTACAATCTTTGGATGATAGGGAGTATCAAGCTAACCAACACAAGCTAGCGTAGCTATAAAGGTGTGTAGACAGTTTGGCTGTGAGCAGAGTGAAATGATCTGATCTGTAGTGGACACACAAAAGTATTCCTACTCATAAATCAGCCAATTTTTATCCAGCTTGGTATGTTTATGTCAGTATTTAATGTTTCAGAGTTTCTGCTACGTTTGATGGTTGTTTTCTCTCCTCACAGCTTTAAGCAGCCGCTGCTCCTTGTGTCTTTGGATGGCCTCAGGGCAGAGTATCTGCAGACATGGAGTGCACTCATCCCTGTCCTGGATAAACTCAGTCAGTGTCAACCTTCTGTTTTTAAAGAAACATGCTTACCCTCATACATGAACAAAACCTCTTACATGTCTGTTTATTGTAAGAAACGTGTGTCTATAAATCGCCTGCCTTTAGGCTGCCTTTGGGCTGTTTGATGACAAATTGAAAGCTAACATCATCATTCATAAGAAATCAAAGCTTTAAGATGAAACATCCCCAGTTATCTTATCAAAACAGATACATATTTAAATGCTTTCACACAAAGGCAGCTTCCACTGAATTTCCTGCTTATCAAATATAAATTAGTGTGTTCAGGGTTGCATCTTATGCTTAATGAAGTTATTCAGCCTGCAGGCAGGGCAATGACTCACATGGTCATATTAAAAGGAAGTCACATGGAGGAATTAATTTGGCACCATTCCTTATTTATTCACAGGAAGGTGTGGAACGTCAGCTCCATTCATGCAGTCCGCATTTCCCACAAAGACTTTTCCCAATCACTACTCCATTGTTACGGTACAGACGCACAGCACTCACACTGCTGCATACATTAATACGTCTTTTTTACAGTAAACAAACTTGATCTTTGTGTTTGTTAGACGTAGATAACGTGCATGAACACAAAATGCAGATTTTAAATAAAGATGTTTATTATTAAAGGCCCTGAGTGGAAAAGAGTTTGTCCCCTAAACCTAATAACTGGTTGGGCCACGCTTAGCAGCAACAACTGCAATCAAGCGTTTACGATACCTGGCAGCGACTCTTTCACAGCTGTGGAGGAAGGTTGGCTGAATTGTTGTAATTCAATTCAGCTGTGTCCCTGGTCATGTGCCCGTTTGTCTGTTCTCTGTCTTCTGTCTTCACGTCTGCCCCCAGAGTCTAAGTGTTTTCTAGCGTTTCCTGGTCTCTGTGATATTTAGTTTCAGTTCATGCCTAAGTTTTGTATTCCCTGAGCTCTGGAGTTTCAGCAATCAAAGCTGTGGTCAAAGGAGCTTGCAAAGAAAAGCGTCTGGACTTCTTTAAGTAGTTTAAACCCACTGGGTTTAAATCTGGGACTCCCCACCATTTGACCATAGAACTGAAGAAGCTTCTCGGATGAGAGGTGAAACGTCTTCAGGCAACTTAAAGAAGTCCAGACGCTTTTCTTTACAAGCTCCTTTGACTACGATGACCTGGATGACTGAGAACCTTCACAGAAATAAAAGCTGTGTTTGAGTTTGAGTCATCTCCAATTCCTGCATTTGGGTCCTTGCCACCACCGCATTTTACTGTTGGTATTCAATTCAATTCAATTTTATTTATATAGCGCCAAATCACAACATAAGTCGCCTCAAGACGCTTCATAGATACAGAGAAAAACCCAACAATCATATGACCCCCTATGAGCAGCACTTTGGCGACAGTGGGAAGGAAAAACTCCCTTTTAACAGGAAGAAACCTCCGGCAGAACCAGGCTCAGGGAGGGGCGGGGCCATCTGCTGCGACCGGTTGGGGTGAGAGAAGGAAGACAGGATAAAGACATGCTGTGGAAGAGAGACAGAGGTTAATAACAGATATGATTCAATGCAGAGAGGTCTGTTAATACATAGTGAGTGAGAAAGGTGACTGGAAAGGGAAAAACTCAATGCATCATGGGAATCCCCGGCAGCCTACGTCTATTGCAGCATAACTAAGGGAGGATTCAGGGTCAGGGTCTGATGTTCCTTTTCTAAATTGAAGGGTTCCAAAAGTTATACCTCTATCTTGTCCATCCAGAGAGCATTTTTACAAAAATCTTGGGGCAAAACTGAGACGAGCCTTTGTTCCTTTGGCTCAGCAGTGGTTTTTGTCTTAGAAGTCTGCCATGCTGCCTATTTTTGCTCAGTCTCTTTCTTATGGTGAGGTCCTCACTGACCTTAACAGAGACATTGACGGCTGTATCTCAGGTGGTAGAGCAGGCCGCTAACCAGAAGGTCAGTGGTTCGATCCCAGTCTGCATGCCAAAGCAAGATACTAACCCCATGTTGCTCTCTGATGCACCCATCGGAGTACGACTGTTAGATAGTGGTGTGGTGTGATTGGTGAATGAATTACAAGTATAAAGCACAAGAACCAGTCCATTTGCTATTTTAGTTCTTTGGATGTTGTTCTGGGGTCTTAAATGATCTGAAACATTTAAGTGTGACGAACAAACACCACCGTGTATGGCTCCTTTTTACACACCCTGCACATTTACGTCTGCCTGAGCATGTCCACACACACCCTCCCCAGCGTTGTACTACACTGTGTTATTCCTCAATATTTCTTGTTCTGGTGTCATTTTTATGCAATATTACTCAAAAACTTTACTGGGTCAATTTCTGTGAAAGCTCGGGAGCATCAACAAAGGAAGAACCACAAAGTTCTGGATCAAATCTGGGTCATTCTTCTCGGTCAGTTGCAGATTTTGGTGACTTGGCGCTGGGAAAATAAAAACAACTTTGTGACACCTTCAACCTAATAAATGAATAAAACAGCCACAGTGATCTGTTGTGGTAATAAAGCATTCTGTACTGACTCAGAATAGTGTGTAGTTTAAGAAACATGTTCAAGTTCAAGTTGGAGTTTCTTAAGTGCCAGTTCATCACTAGAATATAGTAATAAAACTATACTCTCTCTGAAATATAGAAGCATTTATTACAATTATACTTGACATTAAGGAGAGGAAAGTTACAAGAAATAGCCTGGAGTTTTCATCTCTCAGATTCCAGATAAAGGTCACTGGGATTTCTGCACCAGCCTGCTGCTGAGGCCCTCGCGATGCAGCAAACAACTCGTGACAGTAGACAACAGAACACGGATAGTTCCTCGTGCCTGATCCATATCTCACATGATAAAACACACCCAGTTCTTGCTGAAACTCTTACAAGGAGTTCCCTTTCAAAACAAGCTCGTTCATCTTCTTAGAAATCACGTAAGGGAATCCCGACTCCCACGCACTAGAAGTTTCCTTTCAAGGTCCATACAAAGCACATACTTGTGGTATGAAGACACATGACCCAGACTTAAGGATTACTCCTCTCTGTTACGAAACAAAGAATGCTCAAGTGTCCCGCAGGATGCTTTCATACAAGATTGATATATTCAGTTAAACTGAATTATTAATTATCTCCTCACTTCCTTCCTTTTCCTCCTCCCTCAGGGTCTCTACCCAGAGTCAAATGGTCTGATTGACAATACCATGTATGACCCGGTGTTCGATGCCACCTTCTCCCTGTCCAGTCCAGAGAAAAATAACCCCGACTGGTACCTTGGACAACCTGTGAGTCTTGATTTACACACACAAACTGAGCGACCTTTGGTCAAATTACATTTAAATTACATTTAAAAATTAAACGTTAAGGGGAAGGTGACCTTTTAAAGCAAATAAGATGAGAGTGAAGATCTTACAGGTTGAGATCATTTCTGTCAGTGTAATCGAATGCAAAAATGCCAAATAAAGTTTTTGGTTTTGGATTGTTTTGTTTTGTTTTGGGCTTTTTTGCTTCTGACAGTTTCACCTAAGGAAAAGTCCCCGGGCACTTGCACATTCCTGCTCTGCATTGCTGCATGCAGCAGTTGTATAATATGGAAGAAGCTTGTATGGCTCTGTTGGTTTAAGATGGTTAACATTGTTTTGATAATAAAGATTCCACTTTGACATGCTGCTTCTGAAAATGGACACAGAGCACATTCATTTAATGTCAGTGCAGCAGCGTAGAAACATTGCATCTTGTAGAAAGAGACACTGCAAGTAACTTTAATAACAATAATATCAACTCTTATAAACGTTGTTAAAAAGAAACTTCAGAATCAGCGTTGAGCATGTTTCAGTCAAGCTCATACGTCTTCTTTGTTTTTGGAGATTTGGCACACAGCAAAGTCCCACGGACTGAAGTCTGGGACTTTCTTCTGGCCTGGATCGGATGTGAAAATCGCCGACAGTTTTCCTGACATCTACGTACCTTATGACGGGTGAGACCATCGTTTCTAGTTTAAAAAAATCACTTTAGAACTGAATGATGCATGAGAGCCTCGCATCCCCCTGGAGAGTAGTTAACAAAATCCCTGAGACACAGATATTCAAAGTTTGCTGTGTAAAAAATTCCCCGTCTACTTTTCATCCGCTACTCCAGAAACAGCAGCTGAATGTCAAACACTTTGCTGTTCCGCCTCCTCTTTAACCTCCCTCAGTGGCCTATTGTGACTCCCAATGGATCATTTCATGGACAATCGGTGTGCCACCCCATTTGACCGTGCAGTAACTTAAGTATATGAAGCCAATGCAAAATGATACCTTAGTAGGTTAATGAATATAAGACTTAGGCAACTGAAAAAATACATTTAAACTGTGTAGAAATATAGTAGCAGTAACTCGTCTTACACTGTGATCCCAGCTCTCTTGCTCGCACCACATCAGAGCTAAATCATATTGCATCAGGTCCCACTGTTTGATTTAAAAGCCATGGAAAATCTGCCAATCAAAACAGCAGCACCATGCTGGTTGCACTCGGTATTTTACAGTAACTTAACAGTGAATTCATAATTAGGCTTTTATGTAATCTGATTATTTAACCCTGGGAGTTGATCTTTGAGCCAAATCACATACTGGAGTCCATGAAGCAACATCAGTAAATGTGCAGTGTGTTGGAAATATTCCGATATGTTGCACGAGCTCTTATCAAGCAGGACGATGTACTTTATCACTGCGTGGGATGGTTGGCTGGGAGACTTTGGCTCCAGAGAACAGATGGCGTCAGAGCTGATTGGCCCATGCTCTAAGTTAAACATCACATGTGAAATGTTTTCCCGCTATTTTCAACACTCTGGATGACGATTGTCGCCACATTGAAGCCTTTTTTGTCACGGTGTGGGAAATGATGGTTCACACAGCAACCACCATTCCCCCATTCTCTCACATCAATCCATGATTAGAATAGAATAGAATGTCTTTTATTGTCACTATACACCTGTACAATGAGATTCAGAGCATCTTCTACTCAGTGCAGACACGTGGGAGAAGAAAAGGGGCGGGCTGCACAGTTCTGCAGTACTTTATACATATGAACAGTCCCAATCCAATATCAACGATACAAATATCAGGGGAAAAACAGTATTATTGTCACGGTTCTGGGTCATGTTGACCCAGCTTTCTGTTTTTCATGCTTTGGTGTTTTTCTAGATTATGATTTGATTTATCAGTGATACTGTTTTGATTATGATTATTATTTAGTAGGCTTTGGTCAGTGTCTAGTCTGTCTCTCTCCGTCTAGTCCGTGTCTTAGTAAAGTGTGTTTTGTTTCCTGTTTTACTTTGAAGGTTCTTGTTCCTGTCTGATGTCAGTGTTCCGGCTTTGCCCTCCCTGTCTCATTAGGTCTTATTTCTCCCAGCTGTGTCCCCCTTCTGTCTCTAATTCCTTGATGACTCAGCGTATTTAAGCCCAGTGTGTCTTTGTGTCAGCGTCACGTCGTTAACGTCTGTTCACCCTCACTTTCTGTGTGTTCATGATTTCAAGTCCTCCTGCATCTCAGTTTAGAGTTTTGTTTGCTTTTGTGAGTTTTATTTTATGTTGAAGTTTTGTTCCAGCAATAAAGCTGCATTTTCAGTTGAAAGCTTGTTTCCTAAGAGTCCTGCATTTTGGGTCCACCACTCCTGCCTGCCTGCCACACAGCCGACCATGACAATTATATGTTTACAGTGTGGGTTTTGGCAGGTAAATTAAATATTGCAGAGTGGTGATGGTAGTTTGTATAGTCTGTGTATAGAGGGAAGTCCTTGGATTAGGGGGTGAAACTGTGTCATCAGTGCATGTGTGGGTTCAGGGTGGTTATGGCTTTTGGAAAGAAACTGTTCTTGAGTATTTGAGTCTCTGTGCTGATGCACCTGTAGCGCAAGTTTAACAGGTCAAAACCAGTGTGGGAGCTGTCCTTGATGATGTGTGCTACTCTGCTGAGGCCAATAAATAATTTTTCAGTTACTATTGCAAACAGGTGTATTTTAACCAAGACCTCACTAAGCACATACTAAACCAAAACAGTGAGTAAAAACAAGACTTAATAAAACCAACAGACCGATGGGAGGCGAACTGCAGTATCTGACTAATGAAACCTCTTACGTGTTACTGCCACCAGCGTCAGTGCAGTCAACGCACTGATGATGCAGACGTACACGACTAGTTTCAAAAGTGCTAAAGCTCACTGGTAATGTTGTAAGCACGTTCGTGAAATTAAAATATTTGGAAACTTGGATAGTCAACTTCACAGTGATACGGGCATGTTTTTCAAAATTGTGCATCAGCCAGGGTGGCTGTTCGTTAATGGTGTTCAGCAGGAGGGACTGTTCTGTGTTTACAGTGGTGGAATATACACAGCCGTGATGATCACTACTGTTAGCTCTCTCTGTAGAAAAACATCAATATCACTATTTTTACACTGACCTTCTACTTTCTATTTGTTTTTATTCTTTTAGTACCGTGCCGTTTGAAGAAAGAGTATTCACTGTGCTGAAGTGGCTGCAGCTGCCGGCTAATAAAAGGTTGTTTGTTTGTTTTTTCAAAACAAAGACTTCACAAAAGGAAGATAAAAAAATATAAATGTGAACTATGTTTGCTTTGACTCGATTCCAAGTAAAACAACTCTTTCCCGCCAGGCCGGATTTCTTTACGCTGTATCTGGAGGAGCCGGATAAATCTGGACACAGCTACGGTCCTGTGAGTGGAGGGGTAAGGTCACTCGACTCATTTAGATAAGAAAGAGATGAAGGGAGAGCTGCTCTGCTCTTTTGGTTCAAGAAACAAAACAAAAGCTCGTTATATTGGTGACTGACGTTTGTCGTTGCTAAATATTGCGGAAGTTCTGATAAAGCCCATGGGACAATGATTAAATGAATAATTGTAACATGTTTAAGTAGCACAGAGAAAGCTGACCTATGCCGCCTTTCTGGCACTGGCTGGAAATGCGAGAGCGATGTGCAGATGTTATTCTGTTGTAGCCCCTCTGGCCCAGTGCTGAAACAAGATCCTCATGTTGAAACTACTCGTGCATTATCCACACCAGTAAAACACCCTGCAGTGAATGATCACAGATAAGTGAGCATAATAACAAAACTCTAAAGTCCACTGACGAGGCTCATAAATCTCCATAAATATTTATGACACTTCTAATTAAACAATTAAAATTGCATCTGTCAAGTCAGGCTTTTGGGAGACCTTAATGGATTGCGTATACATCCATGTGGTGACTTTTGGGAACGGGCTAGACAACTGATGACAATGGCATCAAAAATATGGATTTAGTGGATCAGTCATAGGATTTGGCCATGCAGACAAATTATGAAAGAAAAAGCATATTTTTTAGGGACTGTGTGTTGGGTCTGGAGATTAGAGATGGCACGATACCACTTTTTTATGTCCGATACCGATACCGATATCATAAATTTGGATATCTGCCGATACCGATATGAATCCGATATAGTGTTTTTTAATCAACAAAACAGTTTTTTAAAATATCTTGCTGCATTTTGCAAGTCTGCAAGTTCATACTCAAGTTTAAAACAACAACTACACTAAAGCTATTCTGTTATACCTGTATACAAAAAAAATATTTCATAGTTCAGCAATACTGATCAATCTAATAAACTTAGACCTACACCATCCTCCCTATTCTGGTATTTTAAAGAGTACTTAGCGTAAATATTAAGCAACCTAACTAATAGGGTTCCAACTCCCAGCAACAACAAAAATAAATAAATAAAAAATAGGGAACCACCCCTCACGCTCCACCTCATGATGCTTAATCGACGTAATCAACCTTAATTTGATGCAGTGTGAAAAAAAATGCACAGAAATCAATTATTTTTCAAGAAATATTAAATAGATTCAACATCTTTCTTCAACAAAATTGCAGACTGCACAGATGGTACCTTCCCAAAGGAAAATGTACTATAGCTTACTAGGGTATATATATTAGACTTAATAGTCACTATATACAGTAATTGACTTCTATTCATTTTACATCAAATTAAAACTTTGGGTGTCAGATAATTATTTATTAAAAGCTAGACATTTTAAATGAGAATAAGAAAGAAAAGTATGTCTTTGTGCCCCCTTTTCCCAGTTAATGCCCTATCGGCCCCCCTGGCTAAACTTTGCTAGATCCGCCCCTGCACAGTTACCAGCGTCAGCTACGTAGAAAAGATCCTCGAGTAGAAAGTAATATTAAATAAATTGTAACAACAGCTTATCAAGCTTAAACGTGCTGCTGTTGTTCAGCCGCTAGTTTTCTCTTTCTGGCGCAAAGTGGACCAAAAACAAACAAGAGAGACTCACGACAGAAAAGCCGATCAGCTGATCATTAGCAGTTTCATGATTGAAGTAGCAGCCGGAGAGCGAGAGGCAGTCGCTTGTTAAGCTTAACGTGGGAATGCTTTACAAACATTCAGAGATGGACTTACACACTTGCTTTACTTCTCTCGGGGATAACTTTGTCGGAGATGAAATGCCAGGTTGCTAGCGAAGCTCCAAATGCTATCCAGACCACCGACAGGTCCTGCATGCCACAGCTGCTCTATCACGTGATGCATACTGCTCCGCCGTTCTGAGGTGAGTTACGGCGTGTTGCAAGTTTTGTGAGGTGCTTTCGTGATATTTAATGGATCGGATTACATTTTTTATTTTTCTCCGATATCCGATCCAGTAATTTAGGTCAGTATCGGACCGATACCGATACGTAATATCGGATCGGTCCATCTCTACTGGAGATAACGCTCAGCAGAGTTCTCCTGAATTTCATTTCAAATAGTTGTAATCATTAGATGTGGACGTGGTTGGTTTCAATGACAAAATAAAATCAACATGCAGATTTTAAAAGGGAATCAACCAGCTTTACTGGCTGAGTGAGTGATGGGGAAATGCCTGAAAAGCACGAGACTCACATGTGAAGAAGTGATTCATGCTTTCACTCATTAACGATGAGTGAAAAAGGAACGACACAGTAGACAATTTATAGTGTTCCTCTTGGAAGGACGGCTTGAAATAGAAACAAGGAAAACACATCAATGGCCAAGATTTGAATTACGTTTTTCTAACGAAGTTCGTCATTGCTCGGTCATGGATACTTCTCTTCCACTCTCGTATTACTTTGTTTTCAGTAATTTAACCTTTTCAGGCATAGTGGTCACTACAGTTACAGCTATTCAAAGGCTGTTTCCTGTGTCAGTGTTGATGGCACACATGCACATCAACCACTACATTGGACACTGATGAGTCACTCCATACCATGCCACCCACTGGCCGGTTAATGTTACTATAGGTGTATGATGTGCTTCATTGTTATTTAACCCTGTCATGCAGGAATTATGACAACCTCAATCAGGATTTTCTCGTTTTTATTCCTATTTTCATTCCTAAAGATGAATAAAAATTCTCAGACAGGTTGTCATAATTCCTGCATGACAGGTTTAAAGTACAACAACATCATTTGCGTCATATTTATTTGAACATTTAATTTGCTTTCTCCAGATTATTACATCACTCCAGGGTGTGGATAAGATCATTGGTCAGCTCATGAATGGACTGAAGCAAATTAATCTACACCGCTGTCTCAACATCATTATTGTGGCTGACCATGGTAACAAAGCACTCAGAGTGATGTGGCTCTGAAAACACGTCTGTCACATGTGTTCAAAGAAATCAGTGTCAATAGAAATGTTTACATGTGCTCTCTTTTTACCATGCATGTAGCTTTACAACAATCCTTGGCTTGCCTCATAAATTTTATAATGATTTAAGCAAATTTTATTTTTGGGAAAGTCCAACATGGCTACAAAGACCAGAGCATTTAAAACAGTACTGGGAAGTAAGAAGGCATCGTCTTCACCTGCCTTTATCCACTTTGATCTTACTTTATCTTTGTGGAATCTCTTCACTGGAATCTTACCACTACATAGGAAATAAAAGCAAACACACGTTCCAGCAATTGGACATTGATAATGCAGTAACACTACCACCATCTAGAACGGGCTCATAATGCTTCATGAGTATTCCACATAAGGAATAAAGCATTCCAAAGTTTTTGTTCCACTGAAGAAATTAAGGCTGTAATGTAACAGCTGAATGTTGCTGCAGGTATGGAGGAAACAAGCTGTGAAAGAAAGGAAACAATGAAGGAACTCGTGGGCGATACCAGCATGTATGTGGTAACTGAGGGTCCCATTGGACGCATCAGAGCCAAGAGCAAAGACGCACTGTGTAAGTAAATGCAACAACAAAGTGCTCTGCTGCTTGTCTTTGATCACACAAAGAATGAGGAGGTGGGGTGAGTCGTTGATGATAGGTTTCACCAGCTTTTTGACGTTGTGAGCAAGTATATGGTTCCTAAAGCATGTGAAATCTGCGAGATTACCTAGGTCTCTTTTGTGTTTGAACCTGGTCATACTTGAATGTTCTTGGGTTGCAGCCATATCAGTACAACATCAGGGCATGGCTGTTTCAGAGACAGTAAGGCTGTAAAAAGGCTTGATGCCTGATGCATCAAGCACAAAAGGCTTGGATGTCTATCAGTTAGTTTCACCTGTCCATGGCTGACCCAACATATCTGATTTACTCTTGATAAAATGCTTGTTTTTAGTTCTTAAATTTGGAAGATTATGATGACTTGATTTTTAGTTTCTATTGAAAATGCATCACACAACATTGTAGATGTAGATGCTCTCAGAGCTTTGCTAAAAGACAGACATTGAAAAAGAGGCAACGATGCCAAAAGGATAAAGAATCATACAATATGTTTCCACTCCTGCACAGACGAGTTGTGTCTCTCTAAGACTCTGTAGTTGTGTTGGGACACAATGCTGACTGAAAAAGAACAAATCTGTCGATTACAAAGCTATTTGTGATATCTCACTAACAAACATATCGCACAGGAAAATTCCTTCAACATGCCATTTAAATTTGAATTTTAAACGAAACACGATTTAATTGCCGTGCCTTGGCTTTGAACTTTCAGCAATGACATAAATGTTTCCCTTTCAACAGGGGACTCTGCTGGACTTGTTGCTAATATGACTGTGAGTATTTTTTTTAAATTTCTTACCAAAATGTACCGTGAGGAAAATAATTATTGATCCCTGCTGAAATGGACTGCCTTTTTATGGTAGTTTTTTCTTGACCCACTTCTTTGTTACCTTGGTGGTATTTTTGGGTCACTGTCGTGCTGGAACACCCATCTACGATTCATCTTCGTGGTTAAGGTTTTACAGTATATGACACCATCCGTTGATAGTCATTTTATATTTCTTCCATTTCTTAAAACTTAACACCAAGTGTTGTTACCCTCTCACAAAACCTTTTCTTAATGGTCTTAGAGCCCATTCATTACATTTTTGTGCAGGCTTACAATCTCGTCCCTCACATCCTTTGACATATCTTTGGTCAAAGGATGTGAGAAACATGATGTTGGAAAGGAAGAAACTGATTCCCTGGAGAAATGTGTTGCATATAACAAGTCGAGAGTTATATGTAGTTATTTGTAGTCAAGTTGAGAGTTGAAGTAGCTGTAAGTGATTGACACAGTTAATTAATGGAAGCCAGAATTCTGGCTGGGTTATAGGCAAGCCAATATTTATTTCACTCAATGGTGAACAAATCATGTTATAATTTTTATGTCATTTCTTTCTTGTTTTTTTTGTGGGGGGAGGGCGGGGTTTTTTGCAAAGGCACATCAGCTCCATGTTCACAGACGGAAAATGAAGCATATCAAGAAAAGAACACTGTCCCAACTGTGAAACACGGGGGAGGCTCGGTTGTGTTCTGGGGCTGCTTTGCTGCATCTGGCACAGGGTGTCTTGGATCTGTGCAGGTACAATGAAGTCTCAAGACTATCAAGGGATTTTGGAGAGAAATGTGCTGGCCAGTGTCAGAAAGCTTGGTCTCAGTCGCAGGTCTGACAATAGGAAATTGACCCAAAACACAACTTAAAACACCCAAGAATGGCTGAGAGGGAAACACTGGACCATTTAAAAGTGGCCTTCTCTGAGCCCTCACCTCAATCCTATTGAGCATCTTTGGAAGGAGCTGAAACATGCAGTCTGGGAAAGGTGCCCTTTAAACCAGAAACAGCTGGAGCAGTTTGCACATGACTGGTCCAAAATACCTGCTGAGAGGTGCAGAAGTCTCATGTTGTGTGTACCATCATTTTTGTCCAGGCCTGTTTCATGCATTTTTTAAAAATAATTCATTTGAAGCTTGGTTGAAAAGCAATGTCTGACTTTCATTGGTTAGGATTTATAGAATTCTCATTTATTATTACTTTTGTCAGATTAAAGTTATTTCTGTGACCATTGTTAGTTTTTCTTTCATTGACCGAAGGGTACCAACAAGTTTGTCCACGTCTGTATGCAACAAAAATGTTCCAGGATTGGATCACGAATGAGTGTCTTTCATGATTTCAGTGTAAGAAGCCAGACCAAAAAATCAAGCCGTACCTGAAGGCGAACCTACCAAAGCGCCTTCACTTTGCCAACAGTCGTCGCATTGAAGATGTCAGCATCCTGGTTGACACTAAATGGCTGTTTGAGAGGTATTTATGGTGCTACAGTCTTAGACATTCTCTGTAACGGTTGTAGCCATGTGCTTTAGAGTACAGGGATTCATAATGTTAGCCAGAAACAAAGTGCTTGTTCTATGGGTTTCAGACTTTTATAGTGTGTCAAACACAGTTTCCCTCAGTTTAATTTCTTCCAGAAGGGTATAAATGCTTTTCCCCATTTAATGGGCATGAAGTCATACTCTCTAAAGGTTTCTGGTACACTCTTGTAAGGCATAATATCCTGGCACTTGAGCTAAACTCTAGTGGGGTGTAATTTTGCCCCTTTATCGCTTCATGGTACTCAGTAATCATTTAGGTCTATATTCAGAAACTTATATGATTGATTACAACTGGCAAACTCTTCTTTCCTCATAGGGATCCAGGCTCTCTCACATTCTGCTCTGGTGGTAACCACGGCTATGACAATGACTTTGAGAGCATGCATGTAAGCTATTACTCTGTTCTGTGTTTCTAAATTGGAAAAACATTTTCCCAGTAACAACACTCACTTTCTTAATCTCTATTGTAGGCCATGTTTATCAGTTACGGCCCCAAGTTTCAGAAGGAAAAAGAGATTGAGCCTTTCTCCAATACTGAACTTTACAATCTAATGTGTGGTGAGTATTTTCCCCTCCGCAAATCATCACCACTGTACACCACTCGACCGTATCCACTCAAAATCTGCTGAACATAAGACACTCATAACAACTGCATATAAATAATAATAAAAAGAAATAAATTAGAGCAATCTGGGCTCCAGCAAAACCCTGAATAGTTGAAAAGAGTTTCAGCTGATTTCACAAAGAGTAAAATCAGCTGAAATTTGTAGACAAACCATTTTTGTACACAGAACGTTTAGTGCTGTTGCAGTGCCACAAAATGTTATAGGACTCTCTATATAATAATATGAGATATAATGATCTATATAATAGTGGCTGGTCTACTGTTCTGTCACTGGGACAAAAACCGCATCGTTCTTCCTGAAGTTCAGCTAATGGATGACTTTCCTTTCCAGCAATAGACTTTCTCAGGGAGGCAAAGGAGTGTGATCCCCCTGTAGTTGGAGCACACTCTGCCACTCGAAAGGTACCGCTGCTGATCTCCATGCAACATTGTAGACAGCCCAACAACATCCAGAGCCTTCAGGAACTCAGGGTTAACCTCATCCACCCCAGGGGCTCTGCCACCATCGAGTTGTTTACCTGCCTCAGTGACCTCATGAGTTGTCTTGCTCGTTTCCAGACTCTGGTTCCACCACGGAGTATTCCTTCTACTGCCCGACGATGTTTAAGTCAACAACTTTTAATCACCATACTTTTAGGTGTGCCAGATCTGTCGAGCATCATCCCCCACCACCTGATCCAATACGCCACCAGGTGGTAATCAGTTGACAGCTCAGCCCCTCTCTTCACCTGAGCATCATCAGTGGCCACAGATGTGTTGATACAATTACAAACTCGATCATCGACCTGCAGCCTAGGGTGTCCTGGTGCCACGTGCGCTTATGGACGCCCTTATGTTTGAACATGGTTTGTTGTGGACAAACTGTGGTTTGCACAGAAGTCCAGTAACAGGACACTGCTCAGGTTCACATCTAGCAGGCTCCCAATCACATCCCTGCAGGTCTCACTATCAGAGCCTACATGAGCATTGAGTCTCCCAGGAGGAGGACAGGGTCCCCCAGGTGGGGCGCCATCAAGCTCACCACCCAGGGACTCCAAGAATGCGGGGTACTCTAAATTGTCATTCAGCTCATAAGCATAGACGACAGTCATCCCCCCTCCTGAATGTGCAGGGAACAAAAGATCATGCAGACTGGGACCTTGTTCAGCTTGCTGTTATTCATTCCTGCATTTTGAACTACAGTACATCTTATAAGAATGTGAAGTTTATGCTTCCAAAATCCAGGGCTATGAATTCTTAAATTTAGCTGATTTAGCACAGTTAACACACAGTATTATGGTTTTTGCGTATTAGTTTCTTTGGTGATTTTTTTTTTTTTTGTTACTGTAAGAAAATCGTATCTTTAATCCTATAATTAAAGATATAAGTAAAGATAATGATTATGGTAATTCAACAGGAATTTGAATGACAACACGTCTGCTGCTCTGGTAATATTCAAAGTCTCCCGTATGGAATCTTTAAAAGCATCAATCAAGTGAAGAGTTATTAATTAGTGCCAGTTAACATCCAGTAGCACAACAGCCAATTGTTGATGCTTGTAATTTAACGGTTACACAGCAGACACTGATCCTTTGGCCGCAGGCATATTGGCTTCTGAGAGACAGGATAATAAGTCTGTTTGGATGTTAGGTTAGGTTTAACCCTTTAAAACTATTAGGGTTAGGAAAAGATTGTGGTTTGGGTTAAACCACAGCGCCTCACAACACCATTGATTAAGCAATGCATGTGGGAATAAAACATGTGGCCTTGTCTGTAAATATGACGTGAGAGCAGCTTTGTTGAGATTTGAACATTTGTTGCCCTGACAAGGGGAACAGACTGACTAATTGCACACATCTGGTACTCAACAAACAGCCGTCATCAGGGGCACAAAAATAAATTCATGTTTGTTTAATGCAGATGTCCTCGAGGTTTCTCCTTCCAGCAATAATGGAACTCACGGCAGCATGAATCACGTATTGCAGCAGCCCTACTACACACCAGTGCACCCCGCTGAACAAAGTGAGCCCGCTCAGTGTCCACTGGTCAGCCTAAACCCTGAAGACAACCTGGGATGCTCCTGTGGTGAGGTGGTGGGTACATCACTGTCACTCAAAAGCATATATATAAAATGATATGATCATTATTATTCTGTGGGAATTAAGTCTGTGGAAAGCATCCTAACATTTTCAAAAATATGACAAGAAATACAGACTGCAGCTCAAGACTGGATGAAAGCAAACTTCCATGGTAACAGTCAAAGCAATAATAGTTCACAGAGCAGCTGTCTGCTTTTTTAGCAATGCACTTTCATGCAGTTGGGGAACACAAGAAAAAGCATCCAGACTTCTGGAGAAACGTTCTGAATGGGTTCTCACCTTTGGTGGATATAAAGGCATTATCCTGTTGTAGAAGCCACCAGCCTTTTTAGGGCTACTGTGATGCATCTACAATTTCCTTGTATTTCAAATCTGTTATTCACAAATTATTAGAGTCAAACTTGCTGCACCACAGCCCCTAAAGCATGATATATGGCCAACTTTTAGAAATACTTTTATCTGAATGGAAATCTGTTTTTCTATTTTGCCTACCACTGAATCCTGTCCGAGGTCTAGATTACTGCCAGCAGTCTACAAGTCTTGTTTCTGAGATGCTATGAAGTTACCATGAATTCAATCTTTGATGTGTTATTGTGGTTTTGGTGGAAGTGATTTATTCTTTTAAAAAACCTCAATCTGTTTTCTATGACCAATATCCAACTAGTCACCAGTGTACTTGATTTGGTCTGCATGGTTTGTTGAAAATAGTGAAAGTAGGGGTGGGTTTTTATAATCGATTCATCGATTAAAATCGATTCTGGCTTGGATAACGTAAAATCGATTCATTAAAATCCTGAATCGATTTTTTAATATAAATTTATTTTGTCCGAAATGCCAGAATCTCAGGTGACATCTCACAAAATTTCAAGAACCACCAAACAGTAAATGAGAGCAGGTACAGGGATTCTGCACATAGACTTAAACACACAGCGCGACCCGCGGATCAGAATCAGTTAGATGTCGCCTTTCTCACAGTCGGGGCTGAAAGCCGACAGCTCGCTGATCCGGGTCCGCGCTTTGTGTTCACGCCCTTTATGCGCTGATTCTAAAGCTGTTAGTTTGATCTCTCTCCAAACAATATTGACCGAATCAGCAGCAAAAGAAGATCCAAACGCTTCACATAAACATCGTCATGAATTCACTCTTTTACTGTTTTGCTTCCATTGCGATGCGCAGCTCTCTCTCTCTCCCTCTCTCCCCCCCCCTCTCTCTCTCGAACAGTTTCGCTTTCTTCATTATTCGCTTGCTTGTTACGCACAAGTCTACTGTTGCTTACAGGCTGTCGGCCGCTGTTTTTTCCCCTTTTACAGTCTTCCGAAAAGAAAACCTCATTTCTGCTGTTCAATACTGAACAAATTGAAACTTTTTAAAATTATTCAAAATGCAAAATGCTTAGCCGTGTGTCTAATAAAACCGCTATAACGTCAGAGGTAATGTTGATTAATTAATGGTTTTCTTTCGTTTTTGATGTACTGCAGAATATTTTTATAAAATCCCAGGCCAGGAAAATCACCTACATGTTTTTCTGTGTTTTATCTTCAGCTACTTTGACACAAAGGCATCTGCTGTGATGCTCACACCTTGGATAAAGTCTTGAGAGTGTCAGCTTCCTTTTTATAGATACAAAAATATGTAAATGTCCTGATCTGAATTATATCTCTGACTGTCAAAATTTCCCAGATTTAAATCGAATCGAATCGAATTAAATCGAATCGTGGATCGAATCGATTCGGGACCTTGTGAATCGGAATTGAATCGATTCTAGAAATCAGTGACGATACCCAGCCCTAAGTGAAAGCTCCCACAACCAAACCTTGAATCACTGAAAGTAAAATTCTGTTTCACTTCCTCTGAGGTGCAAATGCCAAATCATCCACCAAGTTAGTTGGTGAGATTCAAATAACCGTCTGCTGTGACTAAAGGGAGGATTTCTGGATCAGCGCTCAAACTAGAAGTCTTGCTGGACTCTCTCACCAGCTGAAACCTCAATGCTGCTGACTAAGCATCTGCAGCGCATGTTTAAAAATAATAGCTTACCACAACTAAAAGCTGGTACTGTTTTGAAAGAGGTATGACAAATGTTTGGAAAAAGTAAGAAATGGAAGCTCAGCAGTCATATGGTGGAAAAATCTTCGGGTTTTACAAGAAACCAGCAATAACAACATAGTCGTGCTCTTCAAGTTTGGGTGGCAAGGCAGCTCTAGTCACAGAGTAAAGATGTGTTTTCAGACAGGATTTAAAAATGTCAAGTGTTGGAGAGATCCTGCTTTGAAGAGGCAGACTGCTCCAAAGTTTAGCAAAAGGTCCGTTCTCCTCTGTTTCAGTCTGCTTCTCGGAACAACCACAAGCAATTAATCAGCTGACCTGGGCGTTGTACTTGGAGTATTTTTTGTTAAAAGATCAGAGAAGTACGAAGGAGCTGATCCATTTAAAGACTTATGTGGCTGTCACGAGTCGGGCTGCAGCATTCTGAACAAGCTGAAGACGAAAGATCGGAGCCTGGCTTATCAACAGATCGACACGTCCATCACAAAGATATTAACCATGTCTAAGGGCTGCGATTTGTAACTGCCAGCGGCTCAGTGTACTGATATTCGCGGTAGCTGTAGCTCAGATGGTAGAGCAGGTCACCAACTGGAAGGCTGGTGCTCTGAGCCCAGTCTGCAAATATCCTTAGATATTAGAAACACTTAGAAACAGGGTAGAAAAAAAGTGCTCGTGCGAATGTACAAATTGTGTAAAGTGCTTTGAGTGGTCAGAGCAGGAACACATTATATAAGAACCAATCCCTTTACCACTACTATCTTTGAATCTTTGTTTCACCTTCCAATCATGTCAAAGTAGAAAAAAGTGTAGCAGCATTACAGGTTAGACTAAAGGAAAATGTTGTCTTCCCTCAGGATGAAACTGATATCAACAAACGACTGAATCTGAGTGCAGAGGAGGGTGAGACATTTCTACTCGCTCCCGACTCCACGATTCTCTTCTCTACTAAGATCTTTTTTTTCTGGATTTTTGATTTACATGACAATTTTCTTCAAAGGGAGATCTGATCAAACTAATCACATTGGCATGTTTTACTTGCATGCCTCCACATTTTCTGCCTTGTTAAATTCCCCTGCATCTCAATGCTGCCTGTGAAGGTTCTCGGTCACCCGGGTCATCATAGTCTAAGGAGCTTGGTAAGAAAAGCTCCTGGACTGGGTGTTTCTTGAAAATGTAAAGGGCTTAAAGAAGTCCAGGAGCTTTTCTTACCAAGCTCTTTAATTTAAATTCTGATTTGACCCCTAACTGACTGGAAAAGCATAAAAACACAGTCTTAATGAAAATGCTCTTACTGGTGCAGACATCATGAAGACAATTATTCTTCATTTCTTTTTCAGCATCCGCTGCAGAAAAGAAGCACGCGCTTTTTGGTCGACCCCGGATGCTGCAACCTGACCAAAGTTATTGCATCCTCTACCAGGAGGGATTCATCAGCGCCTATAGCCACAAAGCCCTGATGCCCCTGTGGAGCTCTTTCACCATTGACAAGCCTGTAAGTCCATTGACTGGTGATAAGATGTAATGTTTTGGGTTGTTTTTTGGGGAGGAGGGTAGTTATCTGATTACAAGTTTAGGCTTCAGATTGATATAAAAGTTCAATGTGAAGACACATAGATAATCAGTAGCTCTATAAAACTCCATCACTCTTTGAAAAATCTTATATGACAAAAAAGAATTACTGACTCACAGTGAATAAGATTTATGCAGTTTCCACATGAATCATGGATGGTGTGAACATATGAGGAGCTTGCAGCATTTGAAATTTCCGACTCATTCCAAGGGGGGGTTTAGAGGAAATGTGTCTGATTATTGTTTCCAACTATTCACTCTTATAGAATAAAAATCTGGATACACTCACCATTTTATAATTGTGATTATTTTAGGATTAGGATGAGATTTTAGCTGATGTTTCTAAAATGTGAAACCGCCCTAAACTAAATATTTAATATTTTAATGTGTGAACTATTGAATAGTTAGTTATGAACAAGTGCTAAGTGCACACTAGTAGTCCTCTAAAGACATCCAAATTTAATTATGTATTTACCATCTCAACACATAATTTGGCGGGTAGTTATTTATTAGTTGTTGCGGCAATAATCATCACAGTCTTGACCTATCAGGTTATAAGCTGTGAATCACGTTGTTAAGTGTTACTGCTTGTTTTGTTTGGGCATATTTCTTACCTTAAACCAAAAAGGGCAAAGACACGTGTATAAAGATTTAAAATATGAAGTCAACTAATGCAATATTCAAGAAACATGATATCACTGCAGTTACATAATTGTAACCAATAACAGATGCAGAGGTGCCTCTTTGGCATCTCTTAGAAATACAGACAGCTACAACATTATACACTATATAAACGATACATGATGTATGATGCAAACAGAAAATTAAAAAGTGATCTAATAACAGAGAGAAATGTTTCATTATTTTATGATAATGATGCACAGATTTTGTCACCTTAAAAGTGATGATTTAAACAACAGTAGAAATGCAGCGTGGATGAAGTTTGGCTAATGATCTTCCACTCGGACTGTTCAAACATGAAGCGTTGGATTTCTTCCTACCACAGTCCAGTTTGACACATACACACACACACTGTGTTTTCGTATCTTTGTGGAGACATCTAATTGACATAATGCTTTCCCTAGTTCAGGGGTGGGGAACTCCAGGCCTCGAGAGCCGGTGTCCTGCAGGTTTTAGATGTGTCCTTGAGCCAACACAGCTGAGTTTAATGGCTAAATTAGCTCCTCAACATGTCTTGAAGAGGCGCTGCTCCTTCTGTGTGAACCCTAGCATGCACAAGTTGAAAAACTGGCAAAGTAAAACCCTCACAATTTACATACATTTAAAATACATGTTCCTGAAATAGAACTGTGGGTCACTTTGTGGTTGTACTCCCTGTGCTTGGTTTGCTATAAAAGACTGAAGCAGCAAAGTGTTTGTGATAACCAGTTTTTAGACATGATTTCTATTTTTCCTTTGGCAGAAATATTTGAAAATAACTGTTAATGAAATGAAATTGTAATTGAAATGACTAAAGCATGTTTCATATTCTTGTAGAATAACCTGGACCCGTTGCCTTCAGTCACACCAGATTGTTTTCGGGCTGATGTGAGAATTTCAGCATCTCAGAGTCCCAGATGTGATCAGTACCGGTATACTGCTGCTGGAAACCTGCATTCAGCCTTTTTGTACCCACCCAGTACGTACCCATCCTCACATAAATCCTAACTGACACAACAAGCACGCTAACTGACCTCCAGTCAACCTGGAGTCAGCGTTGAGGGACCACATGAGTACTCACAGAGTCACTACCCCAGTAATGTTCTGTCTAAACATTTTCTTATAGATTATAATAAGATGGGCATTTCCATCGCAGTTACACTCTTTCCAGACTCCCCCACACAACACATCATTCCCCACAAATGTGTCTATAAACCATTTTCCAAACTCGTCTAAACTTGGACACAACGATCAAGCACACACTGACTCACTCTTGATGTCTTGATCATTGTGTGCTGGATCCTGTTCTACAAACCAGGTTCAACAAAGTCTGAGTCTAACCATAAACCATGATTAACTCAACTCAAGGTTTAAGAATTCGGGGGGGGGGGGGGGGGGGGGGGGGTTACTGGAAAGGCTGACACAGTGCTCACCATGAGTGATGACTGAAACCAACAACAATGAGGTCTACAAACCATTTTAGCGCTATTATCACTCTGGACTGAGAAATGTGTCACCGTGCTGCGACTGTGGAATATACAAGTTAAGCATTTATAGGACACTCATTAATATACATGCAAATTCTAAATTATTATGGGAGCAGCACTTTACCCGTGTGACTTTTTCTAAATGTTTCATTTTATTTAGGCACCATATTTGGTTCTTCGCCCATTTAGGGTTTATGTTTTTATAAGTGCGTACATATTAGAAGTATATTTTAAAAAATAGGAAAAACACAAACTTAAAAAAAACATTTATGAATTGTTACTGACACTGTTACATTTCTGACACTGGCACAAATATAATACATTGTGTGTAACATTGTGATGATGTCCAATAAGACCAAACCTGCAGAAATCTCGAGACGAGGAGTAAAACTCAAAAACGACTTCGCTTGAACTCACAAACAAATAATCCAAAACTACAACTCACAAGGAAATTCAAATTCAAATTCAAATTTTATTTGTCACGTACACAGTCATACACAGTACGATATGTAGTGAAATGCTTGGACAACTGCTCGTGACCTAAAGAAAACAAAAAAGGAAAAGGCTATGAATAAGATAGGAAATAAATATGAAAAATTAAAAAGGGTAAATTTAACTAGGAAGGAATAAAATATAAATTAAGGTTAAAAATGAAATAACTGTACAACACAAATTAGAATGAAGGGTAAATTTAACTGGGAGAATAAGATAAAGATAAATATATAAATTAAAGTTGAAAATAAAATAACTGTACAACAAAATACACAATACACAATATAGAACTATATAAGAATGTATGAAGAAATCTAAATATAAATAAATATATACACAATAACAGCAGCTGTACAAGTATTAACCGGAAATGAAGAATATAGTGACTATAGAATATAGGAAGAATATAGGAAAGACACAGCCAACACGACAAAGAACACAGAGACTCGGACAATATGTACACACCAGGCGATTGCAGAGACAGGAAACGCCAGGGAGCACAGCTGAATCTGACAAACAAGACTACAGGAAGCAAAAACTGAACATAGGCCTGTTCCAGGGGTCGGCAACCTGCGGCTCTTTAGTCCGTATAGTGCAGCTCCGCGTGGTTTGGGAGAATAAATTAGAAGTATTTAGCTGAAGTGTATTTTATTTATGTTAGTTCTTTTTAACTTGTAGTTCTAAATTGGAAGATTACTGTGATTTTGAAATATAAAAATAAAATTATATTTTATTATTTTTCATCGCTCAAAATAAGAGTCACACTCGCTGAAGCCAGTGTACCCGCCGAAACGCCGTGCATTTATCGAGACTTTCAACCCCAGGTAGGCCAGTTATGGATCTTCGGATCCACATTATGTCAGCAGCTGTTCTCCAGCGTTAACTATGTTACAAACAAACACCGCTCACGCCTCACAGACGACAGCTTACAGTCCTGCGTAAAGATGAAAGTGACAGCCCCGACCTGCAGACGCTGTGCGCAGAGCCCCAGTGTCCCAGGCTCCTCCCTGAAAAGAGTGTCAGTTGCACGAAGGGACCAGTTGATCAAATCCATAATTCCTCTTTAGGCTTTAGAGAGCAAGAATGAGACAGAGGCTTTCTGAGGCTTAGAGATTTACAATAGTAAAACTGCTTTATGGTCATAAAACAAACAAATCTACATATTTACAATTTCTAGTCTGAAAATGTCTAAAAATGCTTTAAACTGAATTACTATAAAGTGATATAGAAAACTGTGGCAATATCCAATATATTGTTGCTATGTTTGTGCTACATTTTTGATGATGTATATTTTTTAAGAAATAACACAAGTAGATCTCACTAGATGCATTTGCTGTCTAAAAATTTACTTACTTTTAGTTCCTCTATAGCTTTTAGGTGAACTGGGTATGTCACCATTTTTATACAACCAATTTCACTCATTTCAGAAACCCAACAAAAACAATATTCATCTCAGCATTTAGAACAAATCCTGAACTACACAAACCATCAACGTGTCTTTTAGACCCCATTCCTACAAAACTGCTCAAAGAAGTCCTGCCATTAATTAATGCTTCGATCTTAAATATGATCAACCTATCTCTAATAATCGGCTATGTACCACAGGCCTTCAAGCTGGCAGTAGTTAAACCTTTACTCAAAAAGCATCTCTAGACCCAGCAGTCTTAGCTAATTATAGGCCAATCTCCAACCTTCCTTTCATATCAAACATCCTTGAAAGTGTCACGTTTTAGTTAACGGACTCAGGCGCAGGCCGGGAATCTTTACAGAGTTAACAATCAGTTTATTGACACAACGACACCAGGTGATGCTATTTACAACATGCTGGAGGGAGGGGAGGGGGGTCCAGGGTTCCGGGGTATGTGAGGGGAAAGACGGGAACCAGACGCCCTCCAAAGGCTCTCTCTCTTCACTCCCCACACTGGGGAAACACAAATCCACTCACTCGTCCACGGGATGACAGGCAGGCAGGGAAAGGGCCGGGAAAGATCTGTACAAGGAAACTTTAGTTAGAGGCGAACAGACGGAAAGAACTCAAAGATTCTGATTCACAAACTACTGAGCGACTGACGCTGATAGCTCAACGATCCAGCGACGAGTGACACAGTGCTGCTGTCTTAAATCGGCCTTGTGATCATCCCGATAGGCAGCAGGTGCGTGGGCCAGGGGCGGGAGCCCATAATGAGCACCGCCCCGGCAGGTGAGAGAGAGAGAGAGAAAACATGTTGCCTAATACAGGATCAGCTGGTGAGGCACAGGGACCATGACAGAAAGAGTAGTTGTCAAACAGCTAACAGATCATCTGCAGAGGTTTATTTGAAGAGTTTCAGTCAGGTTTCAGAGCTCATCACAGCACAGAAACAGCTTTAGTGAAGGTTACAAATGATCTTCTTATGGCCTCTGACAGTGGACTCATCTCTGTGCTTGTCCTGCTAGACCTCAGTGCAGCGTTCGATACTGTCGACCATAATATCCTATTAGAGCGATTAGAACATGCTGTAGGTGTTAAAAGGGAGTTTTTCCTCCCCACCGTCTCCAAAGTGCTGCTCATAGGGGGTCATATGATTGTTGGGTTTTCTCTGTATGTATTATTGTAGGTTCTACCTTACAATATAAAGCACCTTGAGGCGACTGTTGTTGTGATTCGGTGCTGTATAAACAATATTGAATTGAATATAATTCAGGGTTTCATCAACTTACCACAGTTTTGATGTAATGACCACAAGTATGGGAGTAGATGGGAGTGAAAAACACAATTTTCCAAGTGCAGTGGAAGTGCAGTGTCCAATGATAGTTTACTCTGCTGTTACATCAGTAACATTGATCATACAAGTGGTCAATTTAAATGTAAAAAATTAAGAGAAAGACACAAAATTCTTCAAATTAGTGTGATCGCACATGTGCTATCATGCTGCAAAGATCATACGAATGAGGAAATGAAAGAAAGATGGAATCAGTTTGTGGGTGGACAGAGAGGAACTCAACATATATTAAGAAAACCTGTTTAACAAACTCTCTTACCAAAGTAACCGACATATACTTTATAATAGTTCTCGATACAATGTAGCTATGGCTCAGGAGGCAGAGCCCTAACAAGCTAAATACGAATGAGATGGTTGGTGGTTCCAGTGTCCATATCAAGTAATTTTTTGAGGTTATTTAATAGAAAAAAAGGACACTGTACTCATAAATGTAGACTGAATATTGTAGTCACATCTTCCAACAACTTGATGCACCTTCATTCTCAAGGAGGAGGCATCAGACCTGTTTTATCATCAGGGAAGGAAAACCCAGAGGATAGAGACAGCACTCACCTGCTAACACATGAAAACGTGTATAAACATGCTTGTTTATTCACAATATTGTCAGAATTACTTATTGTCACGAGGTTAGACATGTGACCCTCCCATTTCCAGACGGTTGAAATAAGCTGGTTTGACAACAACAGGTGGTTAAAAGCCAACATTATGCCAGCTAATGCTATGTTCTAAAACCCACACGTTCGCTCTGATAAACAGTCTGATTACATTCTCACATCCTGTGAGAGTCTGTTCAAAGAAGGTTGAAGTGGCTCTAATGTAGGGTAACAGTTAAACTGAATGGTTGTTTGATTCTCTCTGTTGGCCCTGCAACAGACTCAGGGTCACTTGTGTGCTGCCTCTCACCAGATCCTCCTGAGAATCAAGGAAAAAAGAATCTTTCCATTGAACTTTTTTGTGATTTCCTTCCTCTTTGGAGATTAAAGAGGCCACCCAAACACATGAGATATCAATGGAGAGCCCAGGATATCCTCTATTTAGTACTTGGTAGGGTGGCCCAAATAAGTCAAAAGACGTAGACCAAAAACAAATGTCCATTACACAGGACATAAATGAATAGGCTGCTTCTCAGGAGGATATGACAGCTAGGATAGGCTCCAAAACAGGAAGCCGGTAAAGCATGCAAACCCAGCACGAACTGGAGGAAAACAGGCTGATGAAGCAAGAGGGAGACATTTAGAGAAATCATTTTTTGTCTGGTCTTACTTCCACATACCAACCAGATGTACTTCTCTGTCCAGCTGAGTGTAGCAGGAAGAGGTCATTGTTTATCTCATGAATTCCAGACAAACAGTATCTGATACAATGTGTGAGAACTCGGTACAGCTGCAGTGAATTAATAATTGCTTAACTGCTCCGACAATGGCAGAGACTGTCACTCGGCCATCCTTATCATCATTCTCTGCAGGCCGGGGGATTAGCTCAAAGTGTTTTAGTCGAGTGATGAAAGATGCAGATCTGAATCAGGTGTTTTGTTCTTAATGTTTGCATTCTTAATGCATCACTGGCATCAGAAACATATTCACCAATATATTTAGTGAAATGTGAAACTTTACATTTAGAGTTTCCAATATGTTCAGACTCATTTTCCTCTCCTTTGCCCAGAGTTTGGTTGCATGCAAGGAGTCAAAGTGAATGCAGAGCTGTCAGGAGACTGAACTATTTACAGTACAGCAAAAACTCCAAATGCCAACAAACTTTATTAGAAATGATAACAAAAAGAGCTGAAACAATGAAATGGAACTATTGAAGTGCTTTAGCTTTCTTGTTTTGCTCTAATTGGCCCAAGAACACAGTCCACAAACATTAGTTAGGTCATTATGTGGCCTTCACAAATAGACAGAACAACAACCAGGCACTGGCTTCAGTGGAAACTACATGAGTCATCCATTTCCTGAGCCAGATGCATTGACTTCTGTAAAACAGTGGTTCTCAAACTTTTCACAATAAATACCACCTCATGGCTCTCGAAGTACCACCCCTATGACGGACAATAAAGTACAGTAGTATAGGCCTATTTAACACCATATACAGTTTACACAAGACAATTTTCTTATATAAATGTTATTTATTTTAACTGTCATAAACAGGTTGTGACATGTGATGATAATAACACCTGTACTGCATTAAAACATTCACAGCAGGTGGGATATCCGGTCTTTTAGTGATGACCTGATGAACCCTGCTTCTGGGTCCAAACTACTCTGCATTTATCGAGGCTGTTGTCTTTTTAACATGTTTTAATACTTTGTATCTTGCTCTATTTAATCTGAACAAGTACCTAAAACAGTCAGTGATCCCTGATCCCTGTTGCAGCCTGGTTCCAGCTGTAAGCATCCTTTATTCTACTGAGCTGTGAGTGAGGGTGGCTAGCGGCTGCATGTGTAGGCTTGCCACTCAAATCTGTTAAAATCACTTTAAAAACATTGTTTTCTCCCCAAAATGTCATATTCTACTTCTACTGTACACAGGAAAGCTTAAGATGATCACGATTTCACTGTTTGGTAAACATGATAATTCATGTTATTACAGAAAGGCAATTAAATATTAAGAACACTTAGCTACATCTTCTGAAATTTGGTAGTTGTGTGAAACTACTGAACCTCACGTTGTTTTACATGCAGGAGTAGGGCAACCATCATCATTACTGCAACAGAATTTCTCCAGGGATTCCTATTGAAGACTGTCTGAATTATGTCTGATGTGGTACTGCCTCTCACCTTCTGTTACCCTCTAAAAGTCCTTATTTCCTTTTGTGTTTTTGCAGATCTTAATACAACGACAGACCAGCAGTATGATGCTTTACTGATGAGTAATGTGGTACCAATGTACCCCGAGTTTAAGAGTAAGTGCAACATTAAATGTTACTGAAAAAGCTGTAATGCACAATATTATTGGAGGTTGTAAAGAAAACATGTGGCTGTGAAAAAACACCAACAAAACAACTTCATTGCTGAACATAAAATTATTGCAAAATAATACAGATCAAAAAGACATGGAAGGGAAGTTCACCTGAGTCAGAGGGTCCTAAGAACATTTTGTTAAGGTGACAGCGTGGAAGGCAGAGTGCAGCTGTTCTGACTCAGGACTCCCCAGGGGGCCACAGCTGCAGTCAGAAACCACTTTAACACGGGCCATCTCTAAAACACCGGACAATGTTTGATTTGTGGTCTGCGAGACAAAGCACTCTGTTACTTTTATTATTGTTCAGCTCATTCTCCAAAAACTCTGTTGTCTCAGGAACAAAAACACAGTCTTTAAAGTCTTTGGAGTTGGAAACCAAAGTCTCTGCTTTAATCTCTTCTGCCTCGTAGAGAGCACCAGAGAAACAATTCTTTTCATTCAGCCTTTAACGAGATCTTGTGTAGCTGCACATGAAGTCCTGGAAATCAATAAAAATCTTCTAAGAGGACAGACAAACAGAGTGTAGACTGCATGGGTTCACAGCTGGGGATCATTACAGATGATAAGACAAAGGAACAGAACTACGCACAAGTTACAAGGAAGAAAGAGAACACAACACAAAGACATGAAGATAGCACGCAGCGACAACAGACAGACAGAATACATGTACCGGTGTTACATAATTAAAATACAAAATATGAGTAACTGAAACCGTTGCATTTACCATGGTAATATTCATATGTTTGGCTATGCCCTCTCTATTTTTGGTAATTCCACGCTGGTGGAAACCCAAACAAAACACGAAAAATCTAGTTGGTATTGGTAATAGTAATAAATCACACAGCAATAGTACATTCATGTGCTCGTAAAAAGCATGATAATATGTTAAGTAATACGTTACAAAATACATTTTGGGCATATATTCTGTAATCTGTAGTGGAATACATTTTAAAGTAACCTTCCCAACACTGCAGACACGGACATACGGCTGAGGTAACAAATACACATTACATAAAAGCAAGACCCTTGGATGCATCTAGAATATAAACAGAGTAAATTAACTTAGAATACGAGCCGACTGCTGGAGGAAGTGATAATGACAAAGGTGTCATGGTCCAGGGTCGGTGACCAAGCGTTTTGACTTTATCGTTGTTCTAGTTTCTTCTGCTTTTGTATTTGTTGTTGGGTTTGGTTCTGGTGTTCAGTGTTTTAATTATCCCACCTGTGTTCTTCCCCCTCGTGGACTTTGCGTCCCTGAGTTTGTGTTTGTAAAACAGTTTGAGTTTCCTGTTTTACTTTGAAGGTCTGTGTCCCGTCGTGTTTAATTAGATTCAGCTGTGTTCCCCTCTGGTGTGTCGTTCCCTCCTTACCTTCTGTGTATTTATAGGCTGTCTCCCAATTTAGGGTCTGCAGCCTTAAAGTACGCAGCCTCAACGATCCTCAAGGGCCGCGTACTCAAAGACCGCTAAGGCCGGAAGTGCGAGGCTTGTGAAATGGGACGGTCTAGCCTCCGTTGCGCTGCCCAGGTTGCCTAGCAACCATGATACTAACAGCTGGAAACGTGTCATACAGCTGTGTTTGACAGAAATGAAGGAGAAAATCGTTTGTTTGTTTGTTTCTACATGAGCTTTGATCATTCTCTGTGAGATTAAGCTCAGCTATTGAACGGCGTATATTTTAAAGTAAAGGCTTTAAAACCAAGTTAGTACAAACGTCACTAATGTCACATGACTTTGCCGACATGTGGCCAACAGTAATGTTTAATGTTCTTCGTTATTAAACATTTGCACATAAATAAGTGACATAATATTCAGTACTTACTTAAAGTTTACTCTTCGGCTGCCCCTCATCCGCCGTTTTTTTCAGGCAAAATTATCCACACCCACCGCCGCGCTATGCATTCTGGGATATGTTGGGCCACGAAGTCTACACTGCCACAGCCTTAAAATTCAGGGAATTGAAGGACGCATTTGAGGGCCGCATTTCGAGCAGCCTTTAAATTGGGACAGCGTTCGGCGCGCCGCTGTGACGTAATCGGCCTTGAAATGCGGCCTTTAAGGCTGCAGACCCTGAGTTGGGATGCAGCCATAGTGTGTGCCTCCCTGTGTTCCTTGTCGCGTCGTCTGTGTAACCTGGTGTAATTTCTGCGTCTCTCTGCCATATTCGCTCCTCATGCCGTGTGTGGTTTCAGGTTCTTTAGTTTTCCCCAGTTTAGGTTTTGTTGCCCTTTCTGCTTTTGTACTCTGCTTTCACTATAAATAAACGCTCGCTCGCACCCAGCCAGTACCTGCATTTTGGATCCTTTTCTCACCACGCCACACGACTGCTGCAGCCGTGACAAAAGGAAAATAGCAATCTTAAAATATTTCCAAAAACCCCCCCAAACAAAGACATAAGTCATTCAAAAACAAATCAATAAACAAAGAAACAAAAACAAAAGAATCTCACAACGACCACGACTAAGAAAAAACGACATTTCCTCCTTTTGTGCCTTCACTTCTCTATCTTCTCTTCTTTTTCAGGGATCTGGGACTATTTCCACAACACACTGCTTAAGAAATATGCCTCCATTTACAATGGCATGAATGTGGTATTGGGTCCAGTGTTTGATTACAACTATGACGGACAATTTGACACTCCAGAGCAGATCCAGCAGTAAGTTTTATTTCTAGTCCAATGATAATATTTTCTTTTGAAAATTCCATCAATATAGACTGAGTTGTGATATTGTGCAAATATCTTAATGCTTTTTAACAAAAAGACCAAAACCAACTGGCCTGGTGCTAACCCACACTATCCATCCCAAATAAGTAAAGAAATTAAATGGGAACTCTGTCTTTTTTACCCTTTTCCACAAAATTAGAAATGAGAGCGAATCTGAGGGAGGACAGTAAAAACGGTGTGTGTTTCTGAACAAAGATGCTGAAAGGTTTTAACCCTCGTGTTGTGTTCGCTTCTCAGGAACACCAATTTGACCCGGGGCATGTTTACTTATCTAAAAGTGTCAGAAACCAAAAGAATCCCATTAAACACTGTTTATCTCGTCATTAACTCCATTACTCACCATTCCAATCAACATTTGGTGTAATGGTGTTCTTCACACAGATCATGGTTCAATCAGGATAATTCCCTTGTTTTTCATTTAAAAAGATGCATTTTAAAACTTTTTGATGTACGTTGTAATTATATTATTAGGTTATTGTTTTTGGTAGTTTTGGTTTTCTTTAGTTCTTCCTGATTGTAGTCCTTCCTCCCTTAGTAGTTATCTTAGCCTGTGTTTAGTCTCTGTTCCCTGTATCCCACCTTTCATGTCTAGTCACCCATGTCGCTGTGTTCCCTATGTCTCCCCAGTTACTGTGTTAAGCTTGTGTGTCCTGAGTTTCCGTCTGTGTTTCCTGTTTTACTTTGATAATCCATGTCCTGTGCGCAGTGTGTCTGGTTTTGCTTCCCCGTGTCTCGTTAGGTCTGATTTGGCCCAGCTGTGTTACCACCTGTTCCCCATCCTCTCGTTGTCCTGCTTGTGTATGTAGGTCCTGTGTTGTACCCACTCTTTGCTGTGTGTCTCAGGATTATATTGGAACTTGTTAAAGTCTTGTGCTCTGGCTTCTTTGTTACTAGTTCTGTTTCCAAGTTTAGTTTCCAGTTGTTACGCTCTGTTTCCTGTATTTTGGCACCCGAGTTTTCACAGCTCAATAAAAGCTGCCTCTTTTAGTTCATCCCTCTGCGTTCCAAGTCGTGTGTTTGTGTCCTACATTCTGCCTGCCACAGCACAAACATGACAGTTTGTATTGAAACGAAACTTTATTGAAGCGCTGTTTTTGATCTAGAAATGAACAAAATAAGAGATTAGCAATATGATCGCAGTATGTGTCCGTGTGTCTCCACCAGTGTTGGTCAAGTTACTTGAAAAAAGTAATCAGTTACTAATTACTGATTACTTCCCCCAAAAAGTAATCCCATTACTTTACTGATTTTCAAAAGTAATTAATTACTTAGTTACTTAGTTACTTTTTAAAAGCACGATTTACAACCTGAAGAGGTGATAAAGTGATAGATCTTTCAGCCCAGTTCTACTTTTTCTGCATAATCATCATACAAAATGTAATCAGATGGAAAAGTCTCTTTTTAAAACTTGTTTTATTAGTTTTAATCTTTTAACTTTATGCATCAAGCAAAGATTTAATTATCTGCAACATTCTGACTGGAAGAAATTAGTTTAACATTGAAACCTATTTTCTGCACATTCAGATGCTTGAATAAAATATTTTAAATGTTCCTGAAATGCTCTCGGTGTGGGTCTTACCTGATAAACCTTGGTTCATTGAAAGGCAGGCAAAAGCAAATAGTAACTGAAAGGGATGAGTGGTTTCAGTAGAGGGAGACACATCAGCTCTGCCTGTGAAGATCGATACTGTTAACTGAGGTCCAGGTGAGAAGAATCCGTGATTGTTGTTCTTGACTGCAACAGTCTCATTTGTTGGAGGCACACAGAAAAACTTTGGTGGAATGTGAATTTCCAAATGGGAATCCAGACGGAGAATCTGCAAATAAGAATAGAACAAATAAGTCCTTTCCTTTCAAGGAAGACACACCGGAGCTGGTAAGAGCAGCCAGATGATCCCACGGTCCTCAGGTTAGATGAGTTCCACACAAGCAGGGTTCCAAGATGAAATCCACACTCATACCTGGAGAGATCAGAGACAATATCAGTTAAAGACTGAAGAACACTAATACGAGCATGTAACAAAGGAGGTCTGACAATCACCATGTGGTGATGTGATCTTGTAGGAGAGTGTGACACCACAAAATACAGACTTGACTCAGACACCGTATGGGATGGATATAACAAAGACGGCTTGATAAGGAAACCACAGAGCAGAGCCTCTGTTCTGTCGGTTAACTGATCCTGGGCATTGATAACGTGCTGGTGGTAATTCAGCAGCTGGGAAAATGTTTCTTCAAACAATGTTTCTTTCCTTGCTTATGGGTCATAGGTTAAATGAGATAAGACCCACCCTGATAGATCATAACAGTAAAGTATTTGTTTTTCCAGCCATCATCCGTCCATCGTTCTGGTGTTCAGGCACTCTACACTGACTTGCTGCAAAGGAAAAAACAGTGCTGCTATGTTCAACTTATGTATTTATTTATTTTAATTTGTGCATTTTTTAAGCTTGAGCACCTGCCCCCCATATGTGTATGGCTGTGCCTACTGGAGTTTATTAAAGACGTGCTTTTGGTGTAGCTGGCTTTCAGAGCATTTTCAGGCATCTAAGAAATGGTAATAAGTTGATAGCTTAGCATTCCAAACTGACATGACAGCACCCTAAATGCTAACGAGGCTTCAAAATGACCTCACAAACTAATGGGTGTTGTCATGGCAACTAAAGCTACAACCACGTTTAGTTATAGTTTAGGTGTAAATAAATAAATCAATTCAATTTTATTTAAACAGCGCCAAATCACAACAACAGTCACCTCAAGGTGCTTTATATTGCAAGGTAGACGCTACAATAATACATGCAGAGAAAAACCCAACAATCCTATGACCCCCTATGAGCAGCACTTTGGCGACAGTGGGAAGGAAAAACTCCCTTTTAACAGGAAGAAACCTCCAGCAGAACCAGGCTCAGGGAGGGGCGGGGCCATAAAAAAATAATAGACTTAATTAAACAGTCACAACAAATGAAAATGACAGTAAAAGTAACACAGCTTCTTGTTTGATCTCTTTTATTTTTTCCTTATGACTTATCATTCTTCATCTTTTGATCTATAATATACATGTCAATATTTTCAGTGACTCGGATATTAATTTCCAACAGCATCAGTAACTTAGAAATAGCATAACCATGAGTTACATATAATGTAACTTAAAGTTACATTATATGTAACTTAGGATAAAACTGCAAACATAGCGTATATTGCAGTGGACTACATACAGTAAGCGCCTGACGGCCTAATAGGTTTTCTTGCAGTAACACCATCTACTCGTTCTGCAGTAGGATTTTGTGTTTGTTGTTCATAGATCAGGCTTGTATCTGAGACCAGGAGTTCAACTGTAATTTAAATGGAATTCAGTAATCCTGTGTGACCACCACATCTGCACCAACAGAGCTCCTCTGTGTCACACTGCTAAGGTCAACAGTGACTGTTAGAAAATCAGCTTGCTAATGACTGTGTGCATTTCTGTGGGACTCTAGGTTTCTTCCTGGTACAAACATCTCCATCCCCACACACTACTTTATTGTGTTGACCAGCTGCAGGGACTCTGCTCAAAGCGTGACTTCCTGTGACAGCGAGCTGCAGACTGTATCCTTCCTCCTCCCTCACAGAGCTAACAACCTGGAAAGTTGCAAAGTAAGTGTCCTGATGTCATAGTTTTTCAAAGAAAAAACAGTACTCACTTTGAGTGACCACAGCCTGACAAATGACTGGAACACTTTGTATTGCTCAATGTGAAACTGACTCCGAATGATAGTCTACTATTCCTCACTCAACCCATTCACAAGGCTCCATTGTCTTCTGTTCCCATATAGCGATAACACTTTGCTATGGCAATACAATTCATGTCTATTTGTAGACTGAGAGCATGGTTGCAGCAGGTTGAAACTTTTTTGGGGTTTTTTAGTTCCCTTTTCTTCCTTGTTTTTTTTCTTCTTCAATCGTTTCCATTTATAAACATTTACCAGTCTTGGCCAAGATACCAGGAAACTGTTGTTCGCTCCCACATTTCCTGCTGCAGGACAAAATATCACATTGTTTGCCATGAAATAACCCTTATATAACACTCAATGTGTGTTTCTGTGATAAACTAAAGTATAGTCACATATAAGTATATTTTTAATGTTTTGTACATGGATTTGTTATATAATGTAAGACATATACAGTGTTTCAAATAACGTACCCTGGTGCAGGAAAGGTAGAAGAATAAGAGGGTAAACTGGATTACATAAGTCAGACATACTGTAATGTAGTGGTTTACATATTTGCCTGACGGGCAAAAGATCTAAAATGCCTCGACTTAAAAATCTGCCTAGTGAAATATGCAGCTCTACCTTTTGAGGCGATCCCTTGATGAGAAAGAGAAGCAGGAAGTAGCTCACGTTAATCAGATGTTCTGAAAAAAGAAACAAGAACACACATCAGACAGATGTTTGATTCCAGCTGTTCAGAGTCCAAAATTAGCTAAATATCAAGAACTGGCTTAAATATTCCTTTATGCTAGTTAGCTGGCTAACATGAGTTCAAGCAGGTCTTGCGCCTCGGAGGAGTGAGGGACTTTGTGATGGAATAACATAATGTGTTACAAGCTTTTATCTCCCAAAGATAATAGAAACTATTTGTTTGTTGTATTGGCAGAAATGCTCCCAAGTTGTGTGGATGTACTTTTTACTGACAAGTCATATTCATTCAATTTATGTTGAATTATTTTGAAAACCCACTAGCTATGGACCATGAACACAGAAACCTACTCTAAGATTGTTGTAAAAAAAAAAAGACTGAATGATGACTGAATGAACCCAGAAGTGTCCAAAACACTCAACCCTCTAAATAGCTTGAAAGTACTAAGTACTTTCTTTTAATTCAATACAGTAAAATAGTGCTGATCAATTACCATAATAAATTAATGAAGATATAAGACATTGTTGCCAAAGATGTCCATCGTCATCATGGCTCACTAAGCTTTAATCAACTTGTATAGCTGCAAAAGCGCTCTGTTGAGACAGCTGGTATACAGCTACCGCAAACAATATTCAAAACAGTTCCACTGTTCATAAACATGGTGAATGGCATCCATACAAACTTATGATTTTTAATTGTTTTGCCTTTTTCCTTCCACAGAGTACAGAAGCAGAATCTCAGTGGGTTGAAGATCACATGTGGTTCCACCAGGCACGAGTCAGGGATGTTGAGTGGCTCACAGGGCTGGACTTTTACCAGGGTAGCAACCGACCAGTCCCAGAGCTGCTGAGGGTGAAGACCCGCCCCACAGCAGCCATTTACAGAAAACAATAAAATAACCCATAAGCACTCCTTTAGTTATGTCATGACACTGGTAGCACTGGTCATCAGTTCATCAATGAATAAAGTAGAAGTTGAAGGAATTAACATTGTCATTGGGTCTTCTCAAAACAGAAAAAAAACATCCATACTGATCCTAAAAGAAGTTATTTATAATATACAGTATTATATTCTCTCCTATCGCAGAGATTTTGGGTTTGTTATTGGATAAACTGACTGCCTGCTCAGTCATTCAGGCAGGGGGACCAAGAAGGTGGTTCTGTTGATCTGGAAGTTTTCAGTGCGAGAAACCTTCCATTGCTCATCCAAGTGACTTGTTCTGTCTCCACTGAAAAAGGAGACTAAAAAACTCAGACTTTTTACTCATAATTCTGGGATGGAAAAAATTAAATTAAGTCTGTCTTTAATTAAAATTAAAGACGTTCAATTTAAAGTTTCACACAGAACACCTGTGTTTCCACACTCTGGGATAGAAGTAGAGATATTTTTGCAAATATGTAAGTATATGTGAGTAAAAATCCAACGAGGGTGCAAGTCACAAGTCCTCTCAGTAACGTTTCATGGGTGGGTCACAGTCTGCCTGAACCGTTTGGAAGAGAATAACCGAAATGTAGAAGATGACACATTATCTACTAGCACAAACAGCATTTTTGATTCAGAGACAAAACCCTTACTGTGACACACCTCGAATACCACACATGTCCAACTTGCACCAAATTCTACAGGAAACGCAACCACAGCATGAACATTTTGCTGCTGATGCTCACAACATTTTTAAATGTTTGGCTCAGGCCAAGCATGTGATTAGTGGTCTAACAAGAGGAAAAATCACACAAGTAAAAACAAAGTTACTCACTGTATTTGTGGGCCAAAAACTGCAGAATGGATAAAAATGGCGTTCAGGATAAAAACTCTGGAGCCCGGTCCCTTGCTGATGACACATTACAGTTCTCTTGGTTTGGATGTTTATTCGCCTGCTACATCAAAATGAAGGGGTATTCCTGCCTGAAGGGGTCATCCAAATTCCACTCTTCATTGGTACTGACACAGGGTAATTTCCTGCTCACAGACTTATAAGCTGTTCTCAAAAGTACAAGGACAGTCTTCTAGTGAAGGGCAGTAATGTGTGGAGGAGTGACTTGAAATAACCTTTACTGGTATAGCATACATCAACAGTCACCTGTGTGGTGGTCATTATTATTATTGCCGTTGAAGCAGTGCTACTGTCATCACAGTGGATTTCTCTGGAAGATGGATTACTCTACAGCTCTGTGAATGTGTGAATAAGACTGCAAGTAAAAATGAAAGTAGTTACTGAATGACTCATGCAGTAAAATAACAATTTACAAAAGCCCAAGCACCTTTGAAAGAAAATTACAGTGGACAAGGTAAAATGATGCCGCGGTGACACTTCCCTGAGGACTCATCTTATGAGTCCCGAGAGCCTTTTGCCAGTAAAAAAGCCATATTGTTATGCAAGCATGCTTCGAGAACAGTAAAATGTTGTGTAACATTTTAAATTAATGTATTCATTTACAATCCCAGAGTGATCGAATACTGTACACATAATATTTATGGATTATTCTTGTAATGTTGTTTATATTTAAAATTTGTGATTTTTGCGAGATTAAAGAAAGTTTGTCTAAAAAGTAAGACGAGAGGAAAGATTTTGGAGCAAAACTATACCGTCTCCATAGGTGGATCTAAAAACCACGGGATCAATAACCTCAGATCCTAACTTGCACCTCTTCTTTCATCACCTCTGATTCTATGATTTAGATGTTTAGCTAGGATTCGAAGAGAGCTCAAATGTCCTGATTTATTTTTGGTTAAATAAGTTCAACAAGATGAAAAAGGAGGTTAAATACACAGTGGGCCAAAATTCAAAACTGGAACAAAGTCGCAGCCTAACATTAATATTTATTGAAAAAAAAATCTTCCTCCAGAGTTTGACACTTATGTGCTAAGGTTTAACAGATCCACTGAGGCTCAAAATTGATTGTCTTTAATATTTGGATGGAATTTTTTTGTATTAATCGCTGCCCGATTTCTAGAAGCCAAGCCTGTGTCGCTAGCTATCACGTAGCACATCATTAAATACCAGCTAGCCCAACTTCAGTAACCCTACAAACGTCACTGCTGTTTAGTTTTCTGTCTTCATTTGTGTTGGAAGTGATAGCAGAGCTGTACGTTTGAATTTTTCTCGAAATCTCAGTCAGAACATGCTATATCATGTTTAGCTGGAAACTGAAGAAGGCTTTCCACTCTGTAAACCATCAGATATTGTTGTCCAGATTGACTCAGTTTAATATCTCCAGTCAGGCTCTTCAGTGGTTTGCCTCATATCTCTCACACAGGAAACAGTGTGTGGTGTTGGATGGGGTTAAATCTCCATATTTAGACTGTGATACAGGGGTTCCTCAAGAATCTGTTCTAGGGCCCTTATTGTTCTCTCTTTTTATCAATAACTTACCTGAGGTCTGTCCAAATATATTTACTCAAATGTATGCGGATGATGCAGTTATATATACGCAAGCAAATAGTGTCCAGCAGGTGGCAAAAGATCTTACAGCTGCTTTAGCATTAATGCATAGCTGGCTGGAGGACTCATGCCTAATGTTGAACACCTCAAAAACTGTCGGTATGTATTTTTCAAAACGCTCCTTAAACTTGAAGCAGTCAAACATATTCCTGGATGGAGCAGAGCTTGAATTAGCTCCAGAATTTAATTATCTTGGGGTCATTCTAGACCCAACATTATCCTTCAAGAGTCACATAAATAAAGTGTCCCAGGTACTTAAATTTAATAATCGAAATTTTATTTTATTTTATTTCATTTTTTTTGGCCTGTCCCGTTTGGCTCTTTTGCATCAGAATTGTTGTCTAAAGGCAAAGAAAGATGCCCAACGGATTTACTTTACCAAACTGACCATCCCAGCCTTGCCGTAATGGTCCATTTGATTCACCTTTTATTGTTTATTTTATTTTCACTTACTGAATACGGGACAGACTTGACTGGAGGAAAGAAGGGGAGAAAGAAAGAGGGAAAGAGAAACAGCTGAGAAGAGGGACGGGGGAGAAGGGCAAAAGACAAAAACCAACAGAACGGGCAGAGAAAAAAAAATGCATATATCAATCACCTGGATCACCTGCTGAGAAAGAAAAAAGAAAACAAGCAGAAGAGAACAAGAGTAATAGAATAAACAACATCACAATGATATATGGGAATATGACAGTAAATACTAAATGTTAAACATTATTGTGCAGCACATAAGATCAACAGAACACAGTGTGCTTTGAGGTAGGAGCCAAAAAGGGTGTAGTTTGTGGGTGTGATCACCCATGTGTACACCTGTGAGCATGGACGCGCTTGTTTTTTGTTTTTTTAAAAGGTTCCTTCATGTAATAATCTGCTAGAGGGTGTGGGGGGGCCACAGCCCCGTCCTCCAGGGCATGAAGCAGGTGTGGAGGAGATCAAAACTCCAGACATCCAGAGGCCCCCAGAACACAAGAGACCAAGGAAGACCAACAGAGGGGCAGCTGCGCCACTGTCCCAGAAAGAGCTGAGGAGAGTCCCAGATGAGGGCTCACTCAGCAGCCGCGGAGCAGAAGCCAGGGGGGGGTTGCAGTGACGCGCCCGTGAGCTCCGCCGGCAGCCAGCTGTGCCTGAGTGACCGAGCCCCAGGCCGAGAGGCCGGGGGCACCCCACCTCTGAAGTGGCCCGAGCGAGCCCCAGGTCCCAGGCCCCGATAAGCGGCCGCCAAGGAGTGAGCCGGTGTGTACCTGGACGCCCATCCCCGGACACAAAGAACCACCAACGCACCGACACCTGAGGGCGTCTGCCACCGGCAGGGGGAGTGGTGGTAGGGGGAGATAGGCCTCCAAACCTTGGAGGGCCTGAGATGTCCCCAGAGAGGTGGCGCCTGACACCCAACCTGACATATAGACACAGACATACAGGCACACACAGATACAAACATCCATTCCCACCCTCATGCTCTCATATGCACTTACTCCACACTCAACCAACGTGGAGACAGACATAAAGAGACGCTGTACACACAATCACACTCCCCCAAGTGTACTCTACAAACCGGGTCTAGGTACCCTTGCCCCTGGAGGGGGGAACTGCACCCAGACCCAGGTGGTGTTTCCCTTTTCCCTGCGGTGGGGGGAGGCAGACCGCCCCGACTCCGCAGCAGCAGGGAGGCCCCACACTCCAGACCGCAGTCGGACGGCAAACTCCTCCTCCTAGCCCCCCCGCTCCAGCAGGTCGCAGAGAATGGGGGTGAGAGAAGACTCCAAACCTCCCTCCACCCGCTCATTGTAGTGTTGATGCATGTGTGTTCTAAGGTGCATTTAAAACCCAGGAGGGCTTGGAGCTACCTGCCAGAGAGCAGCAGGTAAGCGCATAGCCCCTCCTGCTAGCCCTCAATGTCTACGTGTATTTAACCTTGAGAGGTGGGCAACGACGCCAGGGGTGAGGTATACACCCTGATGGTACTTTGGATTCCGTGTAGCGTGCCCACCCCCAAGATCCTATATGTATGTGTAATGAGAGTGTGAGTAATGTGAATGTCTAAGTTGTGGGATAAAATTGAGGCAGAGGCAGCCAGAAGGGGACAGAGGGGGGGGGGGGGGGGGTAGCCTCCTCTGCACCCTGGTGACATACCCCTACTCCAAGGTCCTGCATGTGTGGGTGGTTGTGGTGGAGCGGGAAGAGGGAGGCAGCTGGAGATGGGGAGGGAAGGAAGGGAGGGGCAAGTGACACCTCCCTGGGGCCAGCTCCCCGCTGACCCCAGTAGGCACCCCCATACTCCGCGACCCGCCAGGGAAAGGGGGCCCAGGCCCATCCAGACCGGGGCCCAGTGCAGCAGCGCCTCCCAGCCCCACAGAGCCCGGGACAGTCCACCCAACCCCACCACAGAGAAAACTGCACCCACCCCACCATCCACTCATCTTCCAGACTACATAAGACAATAAACACCCAGGCTGAGATCTTCCTAATCTAAATTTTAATCATATACGTAATAATTTAAATATGAATGTTGCAAAAACTTACTTTTA